AGCAGTGTGATCTACAGACTGACTGTCACACACACACTCACACTAGATGAAATCACCTATAGGGTTGGTCTTTGCTCCAGGCAGTAGCATGGTCAGCATATGTGTGTGTGTGTGTGTGTGTGTGTGTGTGTGTGTGTGTGTGTGTGTGTGTGTGTGTGTGTGTGGAGTAGTAAATGTGAGGTATGTAATGAATAATGAATTTAGGTGAATTTAGGTCACGCAGCCAACTGGGAGGGACAAACTGGGAATAGCTCTTTCTTTCCTCGTCTTCATGTGTCTCATTGTGTGTGTGTGTGTGTGTGTGTGTGTGTGTGTGTGTGTGTGTGTGTGTGTGCGCACTGAGGGGGAAGTATCCTCTCTCTCCTCCCTTGCTTTTGCTTAATCTCTCCATCCACACTTCCCAATTCTTTCCTGCAGATCGGAATCTATCAATGAATTAATTTCTCGCTCTGTCGCGCTCTATCCGTCCACCTGCACCCCCCCCCCGCCTTCAATGTGGTCCCCTTCACCTCCTCCCCCCGCCTCAGGCCTCCCAATGGACTGTCCCACCTGCACCCGCCCTGCCTCCCCTCCTCCCAGGCCTCCCTCCCGGTGGACTGGCTGGTCCACCTGCCCGCCCTCTAAAGCCCCTCAGGTTCTATGGGACGGCTAAAGACTCTGGAGGAGGTGGGGCTGGGGGGGGCGACAGAGGGAGGAAATTGGTACAGTATGTTCAATGTTAAGTGGTACAGAACAGAAATATGGCTGCCCGCAGGCTCACTTTTAGACCTGTTGTTGTGTTTAGGGTCCCTGTTTAAACACAGCTAACAGTTCCATGACTTCCACTTACAGACGTTCTACACAGATTGACACATGACTTCCGTTTGGGGCCGCTGTATTTAAAATAACATATCCAGTATAGCCTTACCCCTCAGCAATCTCAGAAAAGTCAATTAGACATGAAATCTATTTGTTATTGAAATTTTTGTTAAACCTCTATGTGGTTTAATTGACTCCAACCCAGTGTCTGAAATGGTCCAGCACTTCAGTCCACATGAGTACACCTACCGCTTCCTCTGGTGAGCACGGCCGTACCAACCATCGAAGTCACTGGTATTTACAGGGGTACACAATAAAAGTTGCGAAATAATTGTCTAAGAATATGCTTCAGTGGTCTAGTGCATGCCCCTAAAGCCCGCTAAGTTCAGTTTTCTGACAGTTTAAAAACCTAACAACAATCAATATTCTATGTTAAAAAGACAAAACTCCAGCAGTTAATCCATGATCAAAATTGTTGGCAATTAATTCTCTGTTGATGGACTAATTGACTCAGCTCTGTATTTAGTAATATGATTTTTAGACGTACAGCATTGTGGTCTGTACATGGGGAACTAAAGCCAGTGTCAGCTGAACACAAGGCTGTACACTCTGATCTTTGATATTTATACTGCACCACGGATGCTCCAACTCACCGCACTCTCTTCCTGCACATCACTCTTCTCTAAATCCTGAACACTTCTCTAATGGCTCCCTGTCTGATCCAATTCAAGAGGCCCATAATGGCGACAGGGACGATGAAAAGTGAACAATACTGCGAATTAAATGTCATTGTGCACCGTGAATTGTAAGTTGTCAGCAGAGGTCAAGTATCTTTAAGCTGCAGCCTCAACACGGACACGCAGACACACTCCTTGTCTGAAAAGGAGACGATTCGCCATCATGCCCCTTTAGATTAAGACTTAATTCATTAATGAGCACTGGCCCACCCCCCTCCTTAACTCAGCGCCACAGTAGGCGGTCCATGAATATTTAAATTAAAGGAAGTCCATGTGAATAACCTCTTTTTTTTTTTTTTTACAACCACGAACCAGAATCAGTGTAAATGCTGGATATCGTTACTGGAACTGGAGCATGCTGGGACATTTTCATAACACATCATTCATTTTCTGTCTGCGCTCATTACATCGGCGAAACCCCTACTGCTGGTCGTTATCTTTTCCTCGTTAATGGTCCCCACACACACACACACACACACACACACACACAATTTATGTCCCACTGTTCTGTCCGGGTCATTTATTTTGGAAATGAGCCTGGCAGGTAACAGCAGCCCCAAAGGCCGGGGGCAGGTGTGTGTGTGTGTGTGTGTGGGGTGTGAGTGTGTGTTTAAGTGACCATGAAGCAGGGCAGATGAGTGTGTGTGTGTGTGTGTGTGTGTGTGTGTGTGTGTGTGTGTGTGTGTGTGTGTGTGTGTGTGTGTGTGTGTGTGTGTGTGTGTGAAAGAGACAGAGGGAGTCAGGCGTCATAATTTACAACAACAGCAGAGTAGATTGGTGAGTGTCTGACAACAATAGGAGCTGAAATGGGGGTCATGTATGTTTCCTGTCTATCTGTGTGTGTGTATGTGTGTGTGTGTGTGTGTGTGTGTGTGTGTGTGTGTGTGTGTGTGTGTTAGAGAGAGAGAGAGAGAGATGTGTGATGGGGACAGGTTGCGTAATTATTAGATGTAGGAGGGGGTCTACATTAGCCAGCTGTCACTCCTTGCCCCTCACCCTGTGTGTGTGTGTGTGTGTGTGTGTGTGTGTTTAAGACGAGCCTTGGCAGAGGACTCCAGCCGGTTACACTCAGAGATTGATAAGTTATGACACCTTCTGCAACCTCCTCTGCCCTTGTTGTCTGTTCTTATTTCAGACGGGTGTCAGTCCAGTCTGACCAGTTTGAACCTGATGATGAAGATATTCTTCATCTCTAATGTTCATAAGCTTTTATTGTTGCTTTAGGCACCATCATCACCATCACAATTTGGTTTATGTGCAAATAAGTGCACAACAACAGGCACATTTTAAAATGCCAACACCGTAACTAAGATGGTGAACATTGTAAAACATTGTACCATTAATAATTATCATTATCATTGTGTTGTCACAAAATACTAAACGTTGGCAAAATGTTCAGCTACGTGTTTCATTTGCTTTCTCCAACAATATCGTCTCGTTGCATGATTAAACATCTTTATGATTATGTTCAGTCACTCAAACTTTGTCAAGATTAGAGAAATAATGTGGCCCAGTTTGAATATTAAAACACTTGAAGCAGGAGACAGGATGTGTTTACTATTTTAAGCTAAAATTCCTTAACCTTGAAAGTAGAATTATTTTCCTCTTGACAGCAAACATAACGCATTCTTCTTTTTAAATTTGTGTTGTTCATAATGGTTGTTAAAGTTAGATAATGTCAGCAGACTTTAGGTAGATGATATTGTGTAACATAGTGCTGCAGGGATCACGTGTTTTTGTGGTTCCTTCGACAAAAAGCCAACGGGACTTCATCATTGGATTTTCGATTGTGTAGAAAATAATATCTGTGACGAACTTGATTGATGATTCTTACACATTTTGTTCAGCCAGATAATCTTCACAAACAAACTCCAATTTTATGAATCTGAATTTTTTATGAATGAAGCGTGAATGCGATCTCCAGAAGCTATGAACAAACTACACAACGGTCGCATTACTTCAACGACACCACCGTTGAAAATCACATTAACTCATGTAATAAACTTTACAAGTTGGAAGGTTTCAGTTAGAATAGTTTGTAACAAGGGTGTAAAGGCTGACTTGTAAGGAGATAAGTCGCCAACGACCTCTGTAGTCTCATTCAGCCACTTGTTAGCAAGACATATAAATTCACAGTTAGGGTATTAGGTATTTTATGTCGTTGAACAAAACGTGAAACTCTCTTAAGCTTGTGTTAACCACAGATATTATTTCATACATAACAGAAAGAATATAAAAAAAAGACATTGAATTTGGGGCGAGGGAACCGCCATGGGAGCCGTGGTCACAGCAGTTGCTGCTTCAAGTGACTTTTTCAATATTGAACCAAGACCATAACCTTTTCTAACCAATGTGAAATGACTTTGGTTGTTGCCTTTACCTAACCACACTTTTCTGGGCTTTGTACACCCACAAACCACCCCACAACTACCAACCAGCACTTCCTTCACTAGAAATAATGTTGCAAGGAAATGTAATTTACGTTTCCCTGCAAAACGTGATTTTGAATTTGTAATACACATAATTCCTAGGAGACGAGGTTTCTGTAGGAAACTCCAGCAGGAGGAAAATGAGCACTGTTGTTTATTCATTAGAGGGAACTCCTTGAATCAGTTGTTTTGTTTCATTAACATATTCCCATAAATGGATCCGCAGCCTGATTTCAAGGCCTTTGAAGTGCCGGTCGGTTATTTTTAGAGCGAATGTGAGTTTTTAAAAGTGCAGAGCGGATTTCTAAAAGGATTTCAGCAGCTTTAAGCTGAACCCAAGGAGGCGCGTGTAATCCCTCACTGCAAGTAAAAACAAGAAAACGACCAAATTTGGAGCGCTGGGGTTTTGGCCTGCACGGCGAGGCAGCGATAGAAAGGAACAAAGGGGGAAAGCCTGATCCATCTGTGTCTGCTTTCACCCCCCCCCAACACTCCTGCTGTCACGGGTCAGTGTTCAGTCAGCAGCCAGGGACAAAAGAGAAGATGTTTAGATGAATGGAAATGCAGTCGATGTGGCAGAAACACACACAGTCTCTCTTTGTAATGTCATTAGTAGAGAAGATGTTTCCTGCTGCTTTGATCTGATCTCTCTGTCTTTATCAGGATGACCTGAACCCTTCGTCTCTGACACTCACACATACAAACACAGGCGTCCTTTTGTCTTAAAATGGTGTGTATGTTGTGAATATTTTGATTCATAAATATAAAAAACTAATTGTCAGCACACACTCTCATTTCCTGGAGTTAATTGTGAATATTTTATTTGTAGGTCAACATGAATTCCCCTTTGGAGTAGATTAATGTTTGTCTTGTTCTGGAATGACTTATGTTTGATGAAATTAATGATGTGTTTGCTTTCTTTTCTGCTCTCTCCCTGCCCTCCCCTCCTCCCCTCTCATCCCTCCTTTGTTCTCGCGGTCAATCCTCTCTTCACCTCTCTCCCGCCTTCTTCTCCCCCCCCTCGCCCCCATGTCAGCAGCCGGAGAAGGGATTGTGGACCTGACAGAGAGAGGCAGACAGCCTTATACAGACTTGCTGTGAAAGCGACACACACATCTTGAAACACAGTTGTTTTCTGGGCTCCACTCTCCAGAGGGTCTGGGAGGTCCCTGGAGTGTGTGTGTGTGCACGAGGTGGGAGGGTGTGTGTTTTATGTGTTGATGAGTGTGTGGGTGTCTTGCGTCACTTTTCATGGGACATTGAGAGATGTGTGTGTCACAGCGTCGGTGGACGGGCTATAGGGGGCCGTGCTCCCCCACCCTCCCCCTGATCTTCCTCCTCCTCCTCCCTCTGTCCTTCCTCTCCTCCACGCCTCCCTTCGCTCAGGGAGCAATCCAAATCCCCGAAAACTGTGAGTATTCCTGCAGCACGAGCATTTCTCACCATTCAGTATCATTTCCTTTAAACATTATCCTCAAACTTAAATTACCCTTCTTAAGCCCCGCCCCCTCTCGCTCTTCCAAACCACAGTTTCTCCCTTGTGTTTGGAAGGGGAGGGTGAAGTGAAGGAGCTGCAATCTGCAACTACACCTCTGTATGCCACTAAATCTTGTTAGCTAGCTAATAAAGATCAATAGTTGATCAAAAGCCAGCAAAAAGGGGCGGGACTTAGGAAGGGTCAATTAACATAGAAACACAGCACTCACAGATAATGTCGTAACCTCATAGGTTTACGGCCACTTTTCATTATTTACATTGTTTTCTGTTGAGTGCTTTTAAAAGTCTGCGTACATTATCACACACAAGATATGTTACAAAAATAAAACATCACATGTTGCCGACGACACGTGTTGTTCACGGTTTCAAAGTGTCATCACATTTATTTTCATAGCACGCTGAAAGGAATGGTGCTACTTCTTTTTCTTTTTCTTCTTTCATGTCCTTTTCTTGCCATGTTAATCCGTCTGTTTGCTTTGGTCCTGTGATAAATCCTAAAAACGTACAAAGGCTAAATGTTGCACACAGACAGTCTTAACAAAGAGAAACTTAACATTTAAACACATTCACATAAGCACATACACAAACACACCTTTCCTCACAATCAGCTTTAGAATGACCTCCGGTTTCAGAGGTTAAGTTCAAAGGTCAGCAGGCATTTGCCAAGATGGTCCCAGAGGAGAGGAAGAGGGGATGAGAGGAGGAGTCGGGTTCAGTTTGACCTTCAGCCAATGACCTCCTCCTCGGGGTGTGGCAGAGAGAGCAAGAGAGATGAGAAGAAGAGAGGGATGGAAAGAGGATGGAAATGAGAGACTGGGGGTGGTGAAGAGAAAGAGATAGATGAAGGAGGACAGGGAAGGTGAAGAGATGAGTGTAGAGGAGAAAGATGGAGGGAGGGAAGGGTAGGGACACAGAGGGGAAAGATGTAAATTGATCAGGGACGCCATCAAGTCTGAGTCAGAAAACTGAGAGAAGACAACTCCTTTAGACGAGTCATTATACTGTCATTACTTATAATCAAGTAAATGAATAAAAGTTCTCCTTCTCTGGAAACAGCGTTTTAAATCTGCCATCAACATCCGCATGTTGAGCTCAGATCTGTGTGAGTCTACAGCATTTTAAACTAAAACCTTTCTCTAAGTGCTTCCTTTTCTTCCCTCTTTTCCTTGCTTACCTGTGGACAAACAGATAAAGTGAAAAACAGTAAGTGACCTTCCTTGTTCTGACAATGAAGAAGTGTGTGATGGCTCTTGACCCTTTATGTCAGTGACACGTCAATCCCTCAGAGCTGTGGTGTAGATGATGGAGGTCTGTCTTATTGTTGCTGCTGTATCTCTGACTGTTCGTCCTCCGTCATCCGTCTGCAGTATGGCAGCCACGCAGACCAGACAGTGAAAACCTGATCTCCAACATTTTCATTGATTTTATGTGTCAGATGGGCAACATTTGGAGAAAAATAGATGAGTGACCATTGGAATTAAAGCTGCAGTTGGTAACTTTTATAAAAAAATAACTTATTGTCATATTTGCTGAAACTGTCACTACATCCTGACAGTAGAACATGAGACTGATAATATGCAAACAAATCAGGTTCCTCTGGCTCCTCCTAGTGCTCTTAATGGTATTTGCAAGAATCCACCAGGCCCATACGAAAACAACCAATCAGAGCCGAGAAAGACAGAAAGACACTTTGGGTTGGTGGTTAGAAGGTAGTTGATTGTTGAGTCTCATTCCCAGCGTCGGTATTCGACAACCTGGAAAGGAGATTCACCAGTCAACTATCTTTCTCAGCTCTGATTGGTTGTTTTCATTTAGGCCTGGTGGATTCTTGCAGGTGCCATTAGGAGCTCTAGGAGGAGCCAGAGGAACCAATTTTTTTCAGTTACCTGCTGCAGCTTTAAATTAATTTAAAATTATTTATTCAACCCCCCAAAAATGCATGTAATCCTTGATTGTCAATGGGGTAAAAAAAAAAAAAAAGGACAGCAGCCATTCTTACATTAAATTGTATGGTGTTACCAATGATGCTAATTAAGGTTCTGTTCCATTCAGGTCAAACAGAGTCAGTGTGCTGATAAAATAATTGGCACACAGCAGCTTTGTTCAGCAGATATCAATGACAGACAGGTTTTGTGAAAGGCAAGATTAAAAAAGCAAGAGGGGCAATAAATGCACTTCATTTACAGCGACCCTCGTCTGCACTGGGCAGCACTTTATGGTGGCTGCCACTCCAATGGTTTGATGCTTTTAACAGATACATCTTTTTCATGTGGTTGTTTTTCTGTAACTGTTGTGATTAATGCCCCATGTGCTCTTGTACATGTTGTGTTTGTGGGGTTTTTGCTTGTTTTTTTTTGCCCTCTACTGCAAATCAGACTTCCCCTTGAGGGACAATCATTTGATCCACGATCTGAACTGAACTGTACAAGAACCTCTAAAGTTCATTAATTAACATGTCATTAATCCGTACAACAGACAAAGAGTAAAAACAAGAAGTTCTGCCGTTACAGGGGGTCAGGTGGTTAAGCTACGCCAACTGACTGGCTGCCGACTCCAGCTTCATATTAAACGAACGGACAGACGGACGTGAAACTATGCATCTTTAAATGCAAGCTTGCTTTTAAGCTCATCAGCCAGGCACTCACAGCAGGATGTGGCCACAGTCCATTATATGCTGTTTATTTATTTCGATCATATTCATTAAATATGATCCAGAAATTAGAAAATGTTTGGTATGAATTATTCAGACCTTCTTTCAACCCTGCAAAAGGCAAATATCAAGAGATGGGGAAAACTAGCAATGACAAACCAAAAATACATTCACATATTGAATCAGCTGTAATACTTGAACACGGCGTTGCCAGTTGAGTGTTTGAAATAGTTAGCAAGCAAATGGAAAGTCTGAACAATTAGCTAACAATGGGGTGGTTAAAGATACAAGGTTGAAATAGATACCTAGTTAAAAGTAACCACTTAAACTGTTAGCATCCGCTTAAAGTAAATAGGTAAAACACAGAGAGAAAAGTAGGTCAAACAGATAAATGTTTGAATGGTTAGTTGAAAGTACATGTGTGAAAAAGATAGTTAACATAGTTAGTGAATAAACAGTTTAAATGGTTAGTGTTAGTTATAAGGAAACAGTTGCATGCATTAATAAAAGTAATGGATGAATGGTTGAAACATTCTGCTTCTGCCAGGTGGTAGTAAAAGCTATTAACACTGTAATAATAGTGTTAAATAACATCCAGTTCAGATGAACATGTTCGGTTACTTGATCTCTTATTAATAATAATAATAATAATAATAATAATAATATGTGTGCTCTTGTATGTGCTTGCCTGCACTCAGTGGTAATTACTGTACATTCAGTTGCATGTAGTATTTCATTACTGTGTGTGTGTGTGTGTGTGTGTGTGTGTGTGTGTGTGTGTGTGTGTGTTCAGTGTCACAGCCTCCGGTGCTGAAAGAGACGCCGATATCGTACACAGCCTTTTCTCAAGAGGACATCAATCTTCCCTGTGAGGCTTCTGGTACCCCAAAACCCACGTACGTACAGCAGCCAGACCTGTGTGTGTGTGTGTGTGTGTGTGTGTGTGTGTGTGTGTGTGTGTGTGTGTGTGTAATTGCTATACACAGCAGAGTGGACAAATATAATGGATAAATGAGACATATGTATGTGTCTGGATGTTTGTCCACTTCCTCCCTCTGGCCTTTCTGTTGGCATGGCGATAAATGTTCTTCTAATAAAATCAGTGCAATAACAAAATCATGTCTGTCTTTCCGTTTCTCTTTGTCTTTTCCATCCCTCCCACTCCTCCCTGCCTGCTCTCTCCTCTCCTCTATCCTCTCTAACCTAACTCACCGCTTTTCAAACTTCACTTGTATTATTTTAAAGACTAAGGCTGGCGATATTCTGTAAGACCAAAACTAGTCATGTGTCTGTTTCTCAGTGCTTTCCTGTTTGTAACTCTCAGCTATACATAAAATAACTCACAAATAACAGTAATAGTTTAAGAAAATGTTACATAAACTGAAGGAAATAGTGCATTTATGAAGGACTATTTTCAGTGGCGGATTAATCCACATTTGGTGCCCCAGTTGAGTATTTGGGGCAGAAAGCCGGTGTACGTGGGAGTGAGTCTGAATAAATTACAGTGTGAAGGAACGTGCAACAGTGTGTCTCACTGATGTGTTGTTAATAGTTTTTGGACAACAGTGGCGTTTCATACACACAATATCCGTTAGTAGGATTCACTGGAAACTACAGCACTGTTTAAGAAACCTTGTTTTAAAAAAACATATTTGTAAGATTTACATCTTCAGTAGGAAGAGCCACAGCCAGGGTTTGTGGATTTTAGGTGTTCAGCCCATCACACTTGCTTGTTAATCTGTCTTTGAATTGCTTGTTTTATGTGACAAAAAACGCTCCTTTTCTCCGCAGTTACCGCTGGATGAAGGACGGGTTGGTCTTTGGATCGGAGCGTAATAACTCCGGGACGTTGGTAGCCGAAGGCGAGGGCCTCCTCACTCAGTACGAAGGCTACTACCGCTGCTACGCCTCCAACATGCTGGGGACTGCCGTCACACAAACCGTACGGGTCATCGTGGAGCGTGAGTCACACACACACACACACACACACACATACTGTACATGGTCTTCACACATGCTGATTCATAGCAGTCAGATGAATGAAATGTTATAAAGGATGTACAGTAAGACACAAACCCCCTCCTCTTCCTCTCTGTCTATCTCTTCTCCTCCCACACACACACACACACACACACACACACATAAACACTTCAGTGACTCATGAGTGAGGTTGACTGGGGCCACCTGTTCTGCTCTCTCATCTCTTGTTACCGTGGCAACCATTTCCTGGAGACTGTGACGTCACTCGGCCAGGAGAGCACACGGGGGGTTGCCAAGCATGAGGCAGTGCCGGGAAGACAGCCTCCGATAAACACACACACACACACACACCGGTCAGAGAATCGATATAAAAAGGAAGTCACGTATTATCAGCTGAAGGGTATAAACGAACTGCAGGGCGGTAACTTCCACTGTTTCACTCTGAAAGAACAACAACAGAGTCCTCTCACTGTGCTGCTGACACAAACTGCCTGTCTGAGTCTCTAATGTTTCCACTGAATTTCACCTCTCAGGCAACATATGGTGGAGGTTGAACTGAACTGTACAAACGCCTCTAAAGCTCATTATTAACATGTTATATCATGTTTGTTTAATGTGTACAACAGACAAAGAGTAAAAACAAGTTCTGCTGTTACAGGGGGTCAGGTGGTTAGGCTAAGCTAACTAACTTGGATGAACACTGTTGGTACCTCTCAGGATTCATTCCCAAACATTTAATCTATATACAGCTAATTATTTGAATTGAGCATCAGTCAAAGATAAGGATTCATCAGGATTCATCAAGTATCTAGTCTAGGAAAGGAAATTAATCATAATGTAATACATCTCACATTTAATTCCCTGAACAAACAGTTAATTCAGTGTTTGATAAATGCTGAAAAAAGTTAAAGTCATTGATAAATAAGTAATAAAGCTTCTGCCACCCCAAGTGCTCGTAAACACTAATAACACTGTAATAATAGTGGCTTCTGCAATTATTATCCATTATCCCATTTCCTCTGATCAATAGCAATGCAGCAACAGTTACTGTAAACACTATACAGTATGAAACCACTCTGTAAAGACAAACTGTAAAGTAAGCTGCACGGTGAAAAAGAACAACTGTGTAGCAAGAAAGGAGCACTGACTCACTGCGGCCTCCCTGCAGCATCCTGCTGCATCATTTACAGCCGCAACTAAAGTGTAAACGCAGCAAAGAGATCAGAGTGAGCACTGTTGTGTTTGGACAGAGGGTGATCCTGGCTGTCTAAAGTCTGATCAGAGGACGCTGTAGTGAGATTCAGTCCAATGTGGAAGATGTTGATGATGATGATGTTCTGTCGCTTTGTGTTTCAGCTCAACCAGTTCTTCAAAAACAACAAAAAAGAAAGCTGCAAGCTCACGTTGGAGAAAGCATAATGCTGTCCTGCAACCCTCCAAAAAGCTCCACTCCTCCACACATCCACTGGATGGACAAGAGTGAGTCTGTCTTTCGTCTCAGCTTCGTGTGTTCTGTCCAATTTATTAGCCTAGCCGCTCTGGGTGACAGACAGACAGACGGACGCATTGTCTCTATTATTTGTCTGGTCTTCCTGCCTCTCACTTCTAATCTGTCCCTGTATAAACTCTGAGCAGCTTTGTAGGATTTTGGAGCTGAGGGCCGCGTCGGACGGATTTGCATCACTGCACTGCATTGCAGACCATTTCCACTCAAGCTAATGAATGCAGCACTATCAGCTGATGCTTTTGGGCTCTTCTTTTTTTTTTTTTTTTACTTTTCTTGTCCTCCCTTTCTCTCTCTCTCTTTCTCTCTCTCTCTCTCTCTGCCTGTCTAATGAAATAGTGCCTTTCAAGCTGTCAGTTTTGTTCAACTCACACAAGAAAATCCATACTGCAGTGCACTCCAACTTGGAGCCACTTAAAAAAACAAAACAAAAGATTTTGTTTCACTTCTGCACGTTTAGGAAATTCACACGCTCACTACACATTATATGAAAAAGAGGAGAATATATGACTCTCTCTCTCTCTCCTGGCTCTTGCTCTTCTCAGAGATGGTGCACATCATGCAGAGTGACAGAGTGATGGTCGGCCTGGACGGGAACTTGTACTTTTCCAATCTTAAAATGACAGACAGCAGGGACGACTACATCTGCAACGCCCAGTATACAGCGGCCAGGACTGTTCTCCCAGATACCGCTGTCACCCTCACTGTCACGTCCAGTGAGTACACACACACACATACACACACACACACACACTGAGCGTGAAGTTCCTTTAAGAAAACCAAAGTAAAGTCACCACAAGTCAAACAATTGTAGTGATGAACACCATTCTTCCTACAGATATTCCCTCATTTAGTGTTGATGGAGAGCAGATTCTCCCATCTGGGTTGAGATCTGGACCTGCTCATATGTTACAGAGTCACAAAAGGAAAAATATAACATCAACATCTGCTCTGTAAAGATATAGTGGAGTAAAGGCGTCCTGAGTCTTCCAAGTTACGATGTTACGCTGAGGTGAAAATGACCATTTTGTTCATGGAGTCTGGTGCTGAGCGATATTATATCTGTTTCTGGTTATTAGACAGCTCTGTAGAGATCCTTTCCATAATGCTGTCAGAACAGAATAACAATCTGGGGCTGTTAGCTAACTTTACATGGCAGCCACTGTAGCCAGTTTTATTTCTGTGAATTAATGAATTAATTTATTTATTTTGGCCAAATTGTATCCAGACCTGTATATCATATGATATTATATCATATAAAAATAAAACCTGTCAAATATCCAGTCTGTAATCTTCTGTAAACTGTCTTTATCTTTGACAAATAGAAATGTATTACCACCTTGGATAGTCCCATATTTATTCCAGTGTTAATCCTTCAGTTTGATCTAAAACCAGTCAAATAAAATCACTTTTATAATGAATACATCAACAGTTTAGTGTGTATTGATTTCATATCTCTCTCTCTCTCTCTCTCTCTCTCTCTCCAGGTAATGATGTCCCTCACAGTAGAAAACCCCACTTGTTCCGTCCCACTAGCACCCACAGCCCTGTGCTGGCCCTCAGTGGACACAGCGTCACCCTTGAATGTATCCCCGGAGGCCTGTAAGGTTCTCAGTGTTTGTGTGTTTGTGTGTGTAAAAGTGTGTGTGAGGTTGTCTCACACACTGTGTCTTTCTACCCGCACTCTTTCCACCTTTGCACAAACTCTTTCATCCAGCAGGACCATGTGACCAGTTGAGGTCACGATGATGGAAGATATCCCCTCAGTACAGACCTTTTAACTGGCCGCGAGTTGGAATACACTCCCCTTTCAGTAATGTAACAATACAAATGTGTGTAACTATTAGAAACTTTGGTATATTTTTAAAAACAGACACAGGGCCATATTTGAATCACACAAGCACAACAAGTGTAAAGCGCTAGGTGTTGGGTGCTCGGGCTGTGTGGGGACGTCTCCACCTGCTGTTTTGGTTCATGGATGTGCAGCAGAGTGTAAAAGAGCTGCGTGCTGATTAATAAATGCACTCTCAGCCAATCACATCACTGGTCTCATCGCTTTGATAAACCTTCCAATCACAATTGGGCGTGACAACAACAACAGCTCAACAAATAAAGGAATGGCTTCACGTACACAGTGCCACTGATCTGCAGCCCGAGGCAGACGGTGAGAGGTTAAAGCTGCAGTAGGTAACTTTTATTAAAATAACTTTTTGTCATGTTTGCTGAAACTGTCACTACATCCTGACAGTAGATAATGAGACAGATAATCTGGCTCCTCCCAGTGCTCCTAATGGTCCATTGTGTCCGAACACAAACAACCAATCAGAGCCGAGAAAGATAGTTGCTTGCTAAATCTAATTCCCAAACCGTCGTACTTGACATCAGTATCAGATTGAATACACACACAGATCTTTTTACAACACAAACCTGGAAGCTCTGTCCACTAATTGACCCTTTCTTAGTCCCGCCCCTTTTTGCTCTGTGCTCCAATAACAGTTGAGCAAGCCTCTGTCAACTTCCTTAGATATGCTATGTGTTAGGCTCGTCCATGTGGCACAAGCATCAAGGCTAAGCTAACAACACGTGAACGCTACATGCTACATGTGTCTTACATGAAATGCAGTCATGTAACACACACACACACACACACACACACACTGGTTTGACACTAATCCTTTTTATTAAATCATTTTATCTCTCCTCTGTGCCGTCTCTATTTTGTGTTGGCTCTAATTATCCTCCTTCCCATGAGACTTCCGTCTCCATGGCGATAAATGGAGTGTCATTATGATTTCGCCTTAATGATCAAATAGGATATTACGTCATTAACACGATCACCTGCGTTCATTCAACTCTAATTTCCTCCGTGTGTCTCTCTATCGATCCATCTCCATCCATCGCCCTTCCCTCCGAGATCAATTCTGTCTTTCAAGTCTCATCTTTCTATCTTTCTATGTGTGTCTCTGATTGTGATCCCTGCCTCTGTGTCCGCAGACCCACTCCGAGGGTGGAATGGAAAAAGAAGGACGGTCGCCTGGATGAAACGAGCGGCAAGCTGGAAAGACACAACCGCTGGCTTCAGTTCGACAGCATCACCCAGGAAGATGACGGGGAGTACGAGTGCATCGCCTCCAACGGCCACGGGTCCATCTCCAGCTCCTTCACCGTCACTGTGGAAGGTAGGCTGCACACAGAGGATGGAAAAACTTTACTAACAACTTTAAATTAAAGCCGGTAAACTTTTGACTGAATAAAAACACCAACTTTAAAGGGACACTTTTTGTTCAGCTGGGGGAGTTTTTAACAAATGCTCAAAATTGAGGACGAAGAGTCAAGTCAAGTTTATTTATATAGCACGTTTAAATGAATTTAAGTTAAGAAGAGAGATTCCTACGGCAGTATTTGACGATTTGGGACTGGTTGACAAAAACACTGGAACCTACAATTCCCATAATGCAACTCACTTGCATTTTTAGACCCTCCATGCCTGTTAAATTCCCAAACTCCAAGGCCCAAGTTGATAAAACAGGCTTTTTATAAATTTATAAAAATTGTGGCCTCCAAACGACCCCGATTACATAATCAGGGTTATTTTCTCGTAAGCTTTATAAAGAAGGGGGTGCTGAGGGGGCTGCAGCCAGTGGAAATAGATTTTAAATCATGATTAAATGAGATTTTCATGTATTTAAAAACAAACAAAATCCATGTTACAAAGTGCGTCACAAAAAAATAAAATACAGCTCATAAAATCTTCAGGTTTTAAAAGAAATTTTCAACCAGATAAAACATGAAAACTGATTAAAAAAGCAAACACAATTAAGGAAAAAAAGTACAATTCAAGAAGTAAAATCAAGAAAAGCTCTCCAATAAAAGTATGTTTTAAGAAGTGACTCATATAGGAGGGTAATGGGATTTTAGAATCTCAGGGTTTGATAGCTGCTGCTGTAAACTTGCTGGGTTTTTTTTGTAGCGGCTCCCTACTGGGTGAAGGAGCCTCAGAACCTGCTGTACGCTCCCGGGGAGACTGTGCGACTGGACTGTCAGGCTGAAGGCATCCCGACCCCCACCGTCATCTGGAGCATCAACGGTCAGCCGGTCGCAGGTACGGCTGCTTTTTAATGTTAATGAATTTTGTTTATTCAATCCCTGGCTCCTCCTGCTGCACGCCGAAGTGTCCTTGAGCAAAATGCTGCTGCTGTGCATCTGTGTGTGAATGAATTTGTTTATGTTGGGTGAATGTGGCTGTAGTGTAAAAGTCTGAAGACTAGAAAGGCGCCATACAAGTACAGTTCACACTGTGGAGGACTTGATGAGTTAAATTGTATAATGAAGACCAGAACTATGGCTTAATAACTAGAGCCAGTAACTCTTTGTCCTGAAGAGCTGAACTTTAAGTTTGTGTCTTTATATCACACGATGCCTGATGACCACAGAGCGATTTCAGGGAAGAGTGATCGTTACCTGGCTCCACTCAGCCCAATATTACAGACAGCCTCTTAAGCTCAGATGAATTAGACAGGATACTTTAGTTGAAATGGATCCTCAACTGACTCCCAGAGAGAGTTTTTAAACAGATAAATCTATAGTTACAATAATTTACAACAAAGACGTAAGTACTATACAAATAATAGCAATGATCAAAACTAAATAAGCCATATTCAGTTAAAGCAACACATCTTTAGAGGTATAAATCATACGATACCTAGAGCTCTAACTAGAGACTCAAAAAGTAATAAACAATTACTTTTTTTTTTTTTTTTCTGGAAAAAGACAAAATGTGAACATCTGTTCAGTGAAACGTTCCCCAGAAGACGGCAACTGTTCTAAATAAGGATATTATCCTAGAACATTGTGCAAAATGAGGAAATATGGACAATCATCTGGGACAGTAGGAGAAAGAAAGAAAGAAAGAAAGAAAGAAAGAAAGAAAGAAAGAAAGAAAGAAAGAATAGTGGGGGGGGGGTCAGAGAGTGTAACAGCTGCAGCTTCTTGGTTAAACATTTCTTTGTGTTCAGAGTTTCTGTTTGACAAACTCACACTATTGTCGGACTCCTGTCTCTAACCTCTTCACCGCCTCCTCTTCCTCTTTCTTACCGTCCCTCTCCTCCTCCCCCGCTGCATAGAGGTGGATGATGACCCCCGTCGGAGCGTGTCCGGCGGTGTGTTTATACTGAGGGATGTTGAATTCGCTGACACGGCTGTGTATCAGTGCGAGGCCACCAACAAGCATGGCTCCATCCTGCTGAACACCTACCTCTACGTCATCGGTACGTTCCCGCCGCAGCGCGTCTGCACAGACCAATCAGTGTGTGAGCCCTTAGTAACGACGTTCACCTCCGTCCTCTGTGTCTCTCAGAGCTCCCCCCTCAGATCCTGTCCTCTGACGGAGTGGTGGCCAAAGTCACTGAGGGCGGGACCGTCAGTCTGGACTGTGAATCCTTTGGCTCCCCACGACCCCACGTCACATGGTGAGAAACACACACACACACACACACACACACACACACACACACACGATTCAAACTCCTGCTGTACACTAATGCTTATTCCAGAAGCTACAACCTTTGTGTCTGCAGGTACTTTATATCAAAACAGTCCCAAACAAATGCACTCTTTCTTCCTGTTTGAGTAACACTTTACACTCAGGAAATTCCTGAGCCTTTTTTAAGCTTGAGGTGCTTTTAAAGGTTTACATCTTCAATTAGGATGACCAGGGCCAGATGCATAAAACTCTGTATGTAGGTGTAGAAATCAGTGTACACACAGGAAAACATACGCAGTCCTTTCAATTTAACGTGTTTTCCCTCATACATCAACCCCTGCACCAGCCTTCTGACCATTCCTACAACTGACCACAAATGGCTTGAAGCTTGATAAAGATTATTATCGTAATAATTATTATAATGCAGTGACAAACATATTTACTCAAGAGTCTCATTTCTCATAGAGTGAAACTGAGTGTTCTCAATATTCTTTGAAACAGTCCCTATGATCAGTTTCTGTGACACAGGCCCAGGTTTTTACTTTCAGAGGAGCAGCGCCCCCAGGTGGTTGCATAAACAAAAAGCAGTCTGTCTCACACCGGACCTCAAACTCCTCAGACATGAAAGGACAGATCAGTACTGTATGCACGCAGTGAGGTCTCCTGCGCTGTAATATGTCTGGGAATTTGGGGTTTAATGAGATAAATTTATATTTGTTAGACCTAGACTTTTTATATAATTCTTTATGTTTTATGTGTATTCTTAACAATCATACGTACTTAATAGGCTTCTTTTTGACAAATTCTGTGTTTTCTCCTTTTGTTCTTTTAGCTCTTTGGTTGTTTGGTCTCTGAGGCTGTTCATCAAAGAGTGAAGGCTCTGTGAATATAGTGTGTGTTCAGGTCTTCACCGTCCCTTTATCCTATGAGATATTTTTAATTATAATCTAATAAAACTAATAATCTAATCTAATAATAAATATCTATCATTTAATTTATAAGTATGCCCAGAAATTAAGAGAATTCTTAGATATAGCTCTCCTGTATAGATTTACTGCAGTTTTCTTACATCCCTTACAATGAAGAAGGCCTTGTGAAGCTCTGGTGACCTCAAGTTTGGAACCCCTATCTTAAACTAAATATCTTTATAAATTAAATTTGACTGTCTTAAAGCAAAAAGAATAAAATGATAGTTAGTTAGTTTTCTTTACGTATTGGCAGTGTAGAGAAGACTTTGCAGCAACATTTAACCCACAGCATAAAAAGATGGACAGTTACAGGTTTCTTTGCACTGTCTAAGGTGAGAGGTTTTATGGGCTTTAAACATCATGCTCACAGTGTTCAAACTGTTATTGCTTCTCTTTCTCTGGTCCATCATTTATTGATGTTCTTCCGTCTATCATCCATTGACTGATGAGCCAGGAAACACACTCCCATTGATCGAGTTAGTGGGATTTACTGCTGTGGTTCATTCGGAGCGTCTAATGTCGGAATAAACCCTGAAAGACTCTGATGAACACGTGTCACGATCAATATGTGTGTGTGTGTTTGTGTGTGTGTGTGTGTGTGTGTGTTTCTCTACAGGGAGGGCGAGGACAAGCTTTCTCTGCTGTCGGAGACCCGCGTCTCCCTGCTGACCAATGGGACGATCAAGCTGACCGACGTCAGTCACAGTGACAGCGGGGAGTACACCTGCTCGATCAAACACACCAACATCTCCATCACTGCTTACCTGGAGGTCTACAGTGAGTCTCACACCCTCGCCACAAATATCAGCTCCAACTGACCGGAAGGGGGAGAGCACCCGTGACAAGTTACTGTGAAATCTTATGAGAAACTGAAAGCAGAGAATCAACTTATATATATATATATAGTTCTTAATGTTCAAGGATTTGTATTAGTTTGTTGTTGTTTATTAACTGCATAATGAATTGTTGTGGAAGAATTTAAGAGCCTCACTGCCTGAAGGAGGAAGCTGCACTGATTCCCTGATATTTTTTTAAAATAGGGATGGACGGACTGATACATCGATACTCTACTGAAGTTAAAAGATGTTATGGTGTCACTATTTAAAACATTCAGCTTGTGTGAGAATGGCAGAAAGGAAACTGCATGATGTGAGGCTACTTTTCACCTGTAGATAAAAATACATTAAGATTAACATACTGGACTATTTTTTACACTTATTATTATTTATTTCCACTGTGAAGTCTAACATGAGGTAGATACCTGAAAGGACAATATGAGCTCAGTGGAAATAAAGATGCCATCACACCTGCACACAGTGACCTGTGCTGTATTTTCCCATCAGATCGAACGCTGATAGTGACGAGCCCCCAGCACCTGCGTGTGGCCACAGGACACAGCGCTCTGCTGGACTGTCGCTTCTCCAAAGACCCTCGGCTGCCGGAGCCCCAGATCATCTGGAGGAAAGATGGACAGAAACTGCAGGAGTCGTCACCAGATGACAAGTAAACAGACACACTGACATGTTTCAGTCCACAGCTAAACCTAAAGCTCAAACAGTTGTCTTTACATCGAGCATAAGATGCATATTTCTTCTTCTTGCACTAGCCTACGCAGCTGTCACTGTGCTGCCATTATAAACCTTAATTTATCCATGATTGTGTGTGTGTGTAGGTACACTTTCTTCGACAACGGCACCTTGAAAGTGACAGACGTCCACTCAAGAGACAACGCGGCTTATTCCTGTCAGGTCATCACTGAGCTGGACAACGTGGTTGCGTCTGGCTCCATCACTGTCCTAGGTATGTCACAGTGTGTGTGTGTGTGTGTGTGTGTGTGTGTGTGTGTGTGTGTGTGTGTGTGTGTTAGAGACTGAGAAATGCGTGTGTGTGTGTGTTTTAGTTTTATCACTAACAGTTTTCTGTTGGACCCTCAGCACGGCCGGACCCTCCCAAAGATCTGACTTTTTCTGATGTTGAAGACTACAGCCTCACTCTCACCTGGGTCCCAGGACACTCACACAACAGCCCCATCGAAGGTACTGATCACACACACACACACACACACACACACACACACACACACACACACACACTTATTTCTCTTCATCTACATGTCTGGAACGTATTTAAAGCTCCAGCTAAGCTTAAGACTTTTGAACATGGGACACACTGTAGGTCACCTGGTTGAGCGTGCACCTCCTAAAGGAGTCCTTACAGCTGGGATCAATTCCAACCTGCTGCCCTCTATCTTTCCCCTTTACTGTCTATCATCACCTGCCCTATCAAATAAAGGTATAAAAAGCTCCAAAATATGTTAAATCTTCAACATGTAGCTTTAAGTATTGACTATTTCCAGAATGTAAACAGAAGGAGGGAAGACAGAGAGAGAGAGAGAGCAAGCTGTCCCTCATTCTGGATACAGGACCTTGGTACAAAAAATACACAGTCTGTAATTTGCCAAAATCAGTTTGGTACACAGGCAGGCAGAACGGGCAGACAAATGTGATGGGAGAAGGCAGTAACAGGCAGTAATCCAGTAAACCAGAAGGATAAACACTATGGAGATAAGACACAAAGGTACTGAGACACAAAGAGCTGAGAGAACTGGCACACAGCAGGTGGGAAAACACTGAATACCCTAAAGACGGGAAGACACTAAGGCTCATTCGAAATTAACTGCGCCTCGCCTGGAAAGTGGACAAGATCAGGCAGCAGCAGCAGGAGGCGGCGACAGAAAGCTGCAGTCGGTCGGACGGTTTCCAGCAGCCTTCACAGAATAAACAGGAAGCGTTTGACAGGAAGTAGTATTAACATCATATTGTTTGTCTCCTCTCAGAGTTCATCGTAGAGGCCCACATTCAGCATCAGTCCGAGGAAACCGACGGGGAGTGGGTGGAGTGGAGCAAAATGTCCGGGTTGGTCAACCACCTGAAGATGGAACTCAACCCCTACTACAGATACCGCTTCCGGGTCATCGCCGTCAACCAAATGGGCAAAAGCAACCCCAGCCAGCCCTCAGAAGAATACACCACGCTTCCAGCTGGTAAGTGATAACAGACACTAAATATTTAGAGATAGATTTTCATTCAAGCAGAAATTTTGATCCCCACACCTACTAGAGCCAGGCTGACCAGTCTTCATGCTAAATTAAGCTAACAAGCTGCTGGCTCCATCTCTAACCTTCTCATCTATCTCTCAGCAAATAAACATATTTGTCAAACTTTGTCTTTGAAATGTTTTCTATCTTTGTGTCCATCTCCATCCTCCAGTTCCTTACAGTAACCCCAGTCGTGTGCGCAGTGAGTCCATAGACCCAAACACTCTGGTCATTACATGGGATGTGAGTACTTCAATTTGTGTGCATCTGTGTGTCAATATTCTCTGATGCATGCGTGCCAAAATTTAATCCAAATCTCTTTTATATTCCGGTCTTTGCAGGAGATGGACAAGCGCTCGCATAACGGCCAGGGCTTCATGTACAAAGTGTCATGGCAGAAGGTTGGGGATGGTCCAAACTGGAACTCTGAGACCGTAAAGTCTCCACCGTTCTTTGTAAACAACACAGGAACGTACACACCGTTCATGATCAAAGTGCAGGCCGTCAACACTCTGGGATTTGGACCGGAACCAGATACTGGGACCGGATACTCCGGAGAGGACAGTACGTCACCCGAACATCACATCATTCACTGCAGTGACAGAGCCAGAGATACTGTGACAGGAGGGCATTTTAATGAGCCAATGAACACTGAGTTACAGTGAAATCACCATCTTTTTTTCTTTTAACCCTTTATGTATTTATTTCATCACTGAAAAAACGTTTCATATTAATTCATATTAAACAAGTTTCGTAGGATTTCCGAGAAATATAAAGAAAAACAAAAGATTGAAACAGTAAAAATATAATCAAGTGTTTGTGGTAGAAATGTAACAATCAACCCTCTAAAATATGATCAAAGATCTTTCATTATTTCACTCAGTGTTTCAGTTTGTGCAGTAATTATCAATGACATATACAGTAGGTGTGTAAAATAGCATTATAATAACAATAATATAGTTGCCAATGTCATTAAAATATTCAATTACCACAAAACAATATGCAGTGAAAATGTAAAAAAGAAATAAAAAAATTATGGAACTTTAAAATAATAGCAAATAAAATGTAAAAGAAATTAAAAAAGAGAAAATTATGAAATAAAAAAGGAAAATATATAGAAACAACAACAAAAAAAACGACCATCCAAATAGTGGAGGAGTTCAAACGCCTCGTGGTGTCAAGCAGACTCTATAACTCAAATGAAATTGTAATTGCCTGAATGTCGACTTTTATGCGAGAGAATAAGGTCACAAGAATGAGTCCGATGCAAAAGAAAATGGTCTTCTTGTTTTTGAATAATACCATCCGCCATTAAAAGAAGTCGAAATTATCTTCCTATACAAAGAAGTCTGGATATAAAAAGAATGACATCATCTGTCTATAAAATGGCTTTGGAGAGCATCACATCGAGCCTTGTTCTGTAAAAATGTCAAATCCAATTTCTCTCTCTCTGGCGTCAAAGTAGTGTTGTGATCTTGTTTATTGGTGGAAAACAGGCGATGTGCTGTTCAGCTCGTCACAGGCAGTGTGATAAATGCTGTCAGTGATGGACAGACAGCTGTAACGTAACTGCAGGCCAGCTTTGCGTTGGTCTCAGTCACAGATGTATAAAGCAGGATACAGCGTTGGTTTGAAAAGGAAAGGAAAGTCTTTTTACAGTATGTATACACCATTTTACAGCACTTTTACAAACATGAAATGAAACTTGGCCTCTGCATTTAACCCATCCTACATAGGAGCAGTGGGCGGACTAAGCGCCCGGGGAGCAGTTAGGGGTTAGGTGCCGCTGTAAAGAAATGACTCGGATGAATCCAAAGGGTCGATCACACAGAGTCGCACAGCTAGAAATATAACCATAATAGTTACAATATTTTCACCTTTTCCAATCAAATCAAGCAAATGGCGGGCTGCACTACTTTACCACTTTCTTTCTGTTTACTATACTGGTAAATCTGCTTGAATCTTAGTGATAATATATGATCGCCCGGTTGTTATTTTATGGAGATAAAATAATTTAATCGCGCTATTGGACCGAACAGATTGAATTCTGATAGTGAAACTTGGTCTCAGTTTGGCTGACAGGCTGGCCGACATATAGCCTTTACTCGAGTTAGATACAGTAGCTTGACGAGTTCATGAGACTGGTTGTTGCCATGGACGTGTAATAAGTAGTGGATACCAGACCAGAACAGATATTAGATAGAAGGCTTCTGTCTGTCTGGTTTACCTCTTCATGCATTAGTGTTGTGGTGGCCCTGCCATAGAGTTGACGTCAGGCATATAAAGATTTCATAAACCTTCATGGTTTTAAAATAACAATGATAGGAGTAATAATTGATCTTGTTTGCTGTGTTGTTGTATCATGATTGGACACTGGCTGACGAGGCATCCTGTGATAAGCTCTCTGTATACGTTAATGGGTGTTGTCCGGTAGTTGTGTCTGATGGACAGCTCTCCAGAAGAGTAGCCAAAACATCTTGATCGCCCCCTGGTGGCTGACTGCAGTATAGGACTTAAAGCCTGCTGCCTCCATGTTAGCAGATGGGCCAAACAAAAAAATCAAAAGATTGTTTTTGTCATTTTGAGTATTTCTTAGCTCTCTGATGTATGTTCAAGTGTTCATTTTTCCTGATAAGTTTGGTTTTAATTAGTTATGTGAAGCTATGTATATAGGTGCTATTGGGAGGCAAATACACAATATGAACTCATACATAAAGAAAAAAGCTCCTTAGTTTAAATTATTATGCAGTTTTGTTAAATACTTATTTTTATATCTGAGAGCTCATCCTAATTACTCTCTCTCTCTCTCTCTCTCTCTCTCTCTCTCTCTCTCTCTCTCTCTCTCTCTCTCTCTCTCTCTCAGAGCCTGAGGAAGCGCCCACAGGAGTTGCAACAATCGTGATGAACAGCACAGTCAGAGTCAAGTGGAACGCAGCCCAGAATGTGCGAGGTCTGCTGAAGGGATACAAGGTACCAGTTCCTCTAAACTCCTGAGCAAGAAAAGATGGCTGTGCTCTCTGTTGGCTCAGGTCATAGAAACACCTGTAAATCAGTCCACAGGCAACAGAGATCGTCTGGGGAAGATCTCATTTTCTAAGTTACATTACAACCTGTTCACACATTGGCAATAAACAGGGATTAATACATATAAAAAAAAACATGTAAAGGCTTCGGATTCTTACATTTCAATAAACACTGCTTCCAGTTAATAATCAGTATCAATTATTTGTCTACAGGTTAACTTTTGAATTAATCATTTAGTCTAAATTGGGAAAAATGCCTGTCACAATGCCCCAGAGTTCAATGTGATGTCTTTAAATGTAAAAAGTTTACAATCATATAAAACATTACAAAAACAGCAAATCCTTGTATTTAAGAAGCTGGAACCAAAGAATGATAACAGAATAAACAACTGATTTCTTTTCGTAATTGTTGCTGTAGTTGTAAAGAAAGCACTTCAGGCAACACTAACGCATCCATCGTTCTCGCCTCCATGTCAGCTCTACATCAAGAGGTTGGGTCCCCGGGAGGTGCGGGGCCGGAGGTCGCTCGGAAAACGGCACCACAAGGAGGAGAGGTTGGAGCGGGGGAAGGACGACGGGGAGAGAAGGGTGGTGGTGGTCTCCAGCACGAAGACCTCAGAGGATGTGACAGGGCTGCAGCTGTATTCCAGGTATACGGTGTCTATCACTGCCTTCAACAGCAAAGGGGAGGGCCCACACTCACCACCGCACCACTTCAACACCCCAGAGGGAGGTGAGTTTGGATGAGAAGTTACAATAAGAGACACATGTATTTAATAGAAATGCCAACTGGCGTGTGCTTTAACCGTGTGTCTGCTTTAGTGCCTGGTAAGCCGGCATCACTGACGTTCGAGAGCCCATCAGAGAAATCACTGAATCTCTACTGGACCCCTCCACTTGAACCTAACGGCATACTGACTGGATATGTGGTGCAGTATCAAAAGGGTAAGGTCTCCTACAGGCAGGAGATTCAATTACATAATTAAACACAGGGTAAAAAGGAGAGGAGAAACCATTGTGTTTTTGTTGCCTTACCACAAAGACTGCATCAAATGTGTTGCGTTGCACCACTGCTTACAACTCCCTGGTTTGTGTTTGATCTGCAGATGTGATGAGCAGCCCGTTGCAGATGGAGATCATCAGTGATCCCAGTGTGACTCACATCGAGTTGGATGCTCTGGACCCCAGCACCTACTACATCTTCAGTGTGATCGCACGCACCGCCGCTGGAGATGGACTTCCCATCACTGAGAGGAACGCCACCTTGCTCGAAGGAGGTGAAATCACAAGTTCACCCTCTTGTTATTTCTCTCCTTTTGTTAATTCCTAACTTGTATTAATCCTCTCGTTCTCCTTCCAGTTCCTCCATCCAACATCACCATAAATTCCAGTAACACAGCACTCAACCTGAGCTGGGTGCCCGGAGAGCGAGACAGGAACCACGCCTTCAAAATCCACTACCGTAGGAAGATCGGTAAGAAAGATAAGGACTCTAAGAGAAAAATGGAGGGGGAAATGGAGCGAGAAGAGGATGCCGTTATTAATTATTAAATGTGCTTATAGGCTCCATTTGATGTTGAAGTCACTACTGCTATAACACAAGATCAGATCAGATATATTAGAAGACATACAAGAAATATAAAAAAGTTAACTATATTCTACGATATTCTTGTGTGTGTGTGTGTGTGTGTGTGTGTGTGTGTGTGTGTGTGTGTGTGTGTGTGTTTGCTGCAGCTGGGAGTGAATGGGAGAAGTCAGAGGTGCTGAACTCCACGCAGGGTTTCTATTCGCTGTCAGGCCTCCAACCAGGAACTTTTTACCACCTTAAGATAATGCAAGGAAACTCCACTCACTGGGAGGAATGGGCAGAGACTACAGGACCCGGTATGTGATGTTCTCCTTACTGTAAACTCTAACCGAGGGCCCGTACATTAATGGTAAAAAAAAGAAAAACTAGAGGTGGGTAAAAGTATACACATTCTTTATTCAAGCAGAAGTACAGATAAGACTCTGGTTGAAGTTAAAGTAGTGATAAACTACTGAAACTTCAGTATCAAAGTAATCCAGTGACCATTGTCTGTACTGTCTAATAGCTAATTCACCATACTTCTTCTTTTTTTACTTTTTATTTACCAGAATGAAATGCTGATGCTCTCTCTCTCTCTCTCTCTCTCTCTCTCTCTCTCTCTCTCTCTCCCTGTCTCTCAGTGCCAACGGCCATGTCCAGTGGGTTTGCCACCCAAGGTTGGCTTATAGGACTCATCAGCGCCATCGTGCTGCTGGTGCTGATACTGCTCATCCTCTGCCTTATCAAACGCAGCAAGGGCGGCAAATACGCAGGTGAGACAATACACTCACATACACAACTGAACACACACACACTGGCTACAGATGTAACACTCAACTCACGACTCATGATTTTCTCTTTACCATATTATGGAATCCTTTTTTATTTCTTTATTAGGCATCACGATTTTTAACGTCACTGATTTGAATCCTCACATATTTCTGGCGCGGTATCTTTACATTACAACACCAGCACATACAGATTTTGACAGGTTTTTTTCCTACAGTGAAAGACAAAGAAGACAAGGAGGTGGACTCTGAAGCTCGGCCAATGAAAGACGAGACCTTTGGAGAGTACAGGTGGGTCTTTCCTCAACTCGAGTCATAGGCACCACCTTTATTGTTTCCACAGGTGTGCCGGATACGTATGAACATTAAAGAGTAACTAAACCCCAAACCAAACTTTGTACAGCTGAAAACCTATGTGTATGGGTATTTAGTCGTCCAAATCTCGAATTCTGTATATTGTGTTATAAAAAATGCAGCAGCCGCCCCTAGTTTGATCTAGATTTTGTGTGGTGCACTAGACAGACGTATTTGACTCTAAATGGGACCATCAGTTACTAAATGAACATCATGCTGTATGGAAGAAGACTGAAACTAGAGACTGAGACCAGAAACTCATCAGGAAACAGTTTACTGAGCTCATAAATATACTGAGAAGTCTGCTCATTTCTCCATAAGACTGTGGGGTATCAGTGTGTTATTGCAGCCAATGGAGCTGCCCCCTGCTGGTCATTACACAGAATGCAGCTTTAAGAGACTTCTTCGTTGGCTTCACTTCACAGACCCTGAAGGTCTGTCCGTTATATACACTGTCAATGGTTTGGTCGCTTGTACAACAAGTTGAGGACGAGGTGTGTGTTCATGTTGGATGAGAAGGAGACTTTGAAGAACATTGAAATACTAATAAATAAGTAGATAACGTACCTCAAAGATGTACTTATGGAGTACTTGAGTAAATGTACTTTGCACTTCTTTAGTAAACTAATCTTTAAGTGGTCGGTTTCCTGATGCACTGAACATTTGGTTAAGCGAAGTCAAACTGCTCTGTGTGGTTTCTTGTGGGGACCCTGCCCGCACTGAGAGTTATGATGATGCTTTGCCAGCGTGGACTCTTGAGAGTAAAGAGTGCACTGCCTCTAAGAGGAAGGACAGGAGCCGATTTGATTGACTCGGATTAACACTAACACACCCACTGATAATGTGTTCCCCCTGATCCCACTCAGTTTCCTGCCTCCGACCCAGTGCCGCTTCACCAGCTTTCGTAACAACGCATCGCTGATTCATTTTCTTTTCAAATTAAAATACTAAACTTTATCCATCATAAGAACAACCTATCTACAGTTTTCCTATACGGTATATATTTATACATAAATAACTTTATTTTGGAATGAAACCTGCTTTAACTCTTTTCAGCTGCTTGTCTCATTTGACCGTATGTCCCTAACGCACCCGGCTCTCCTTCCTTTTCATCTCACTTTTCTTTCTTTCCTTAATGCTCTGCCTGCAGATCCCTGGAGAGGTGAGGAACTGCCTCTTTAACTCTTCCATGCATGTTTTGCTTCCTGTCTTCTTGTGCCCATGACTGTGCTGTGAACTACCTCAGAACTTTATTTACAGTTTTCCCCTTGTTCCCTCCTTCCTTGTTTACCCGTTGTTTCAGTATAATTAATAATAAATTCCATCAGTGCAGTAAGAGTCATGTCAGGCAACACTTACTCAAAAATGTTCACCTCCTCATACAAGCAGGCTTTTAATGTGAAAAACCTACAACATTAGAGCAGCAGATGAGAGAATAACATGACTCTGTTGTACTGTTTGAATTAGTGGAAATATATTCTTATGTTTCATTATGTTATTACTAAACTTAATTTAGCTTGTTAGCATGTGAGCTGTTGTAGAAGGCTACAGATAATTCCACCCCAACCAGTGTGCTGGCCGTGGCAGCCCCGGTTATTATTTGAGACCAGCTTTAATATGAGAGTTAATTACTGATGATTCTTTCTCCGTCGTCTTTCAGCGATGCAGATGAGAAGCGCTCAGACAGCCAGCCGTCTCTGTGCGGGGAGAGCAAGCTGGGCAGCGACGACTCTCTGGCTGAATACGGAGACAGCGTGGACATCCAGTTCAACGAGGACGGCTCCTTCATCGGCCAGTACAGCAACCGGGGGCCCGCTCCCCCCGGCAACGAGAGCTCCGGTCCCGCCTCCCCTGTTAACGCAGTCCCGCCTCCCCCCATCGCTCCATCCATGTCGAGCATCCTGAACCGGCCCAGCTAGACACACACATTACAAACAAATACACACACATCACACACACACACACACACACACACACACACACAAACACACTCCCTGCCTGCAACAAAACACAAAGGGACTGACCACTCCTGACTCCACTGCCTGTAATGTTATAGTGCAAGAACACACACACACACACACACACACACACACACACACTGTCTCAATACATTCCACAGGTTTATGCAGTGAAGCTGTTTACAGGAAGTCTCGCCTTTTCTACTACAAGTTTACACACACACACACACACACACACACACACACACAAGCAAACACATACAATCAGACATCCATTCACTCTTCTACTGAAGAAAGAAAGACAGAGGGACGTGGAGGACAGGAGCAAGTTGCACCAGCTGTTCGTAACTTCAAACTTTAAAGTAGAAATGTATGCGTCACTAAATTAAAGCGGGATCGCACCACAAAAACTAGTTCTTGCGTAGAGTTTCTAAATATTCACACCCAGTAACGCCACTAGATGGCGTAGACAAGCTAATTTAAAAACTACAGTATGTTCGCTATCAGTTGATACAAAGTGCATATTTCTGCCCGTTATCGATGCTGCAGTTGACTAACTCGTTTACATTTTCGAATGCTTTCTGATTGGACACTGCCACAGATGTTGCTCAGCAACAAGAGGCAGCCCCCGTGGCTGACAAATGAAGCCGACACGGAAGTAACAAAACCTGGACTTCCTTTAACAGCCACTAGAGGCTGGCTCCAACAGTGAGCCAATCTCTGCAAGGCTCAATATTAAACCTGTTTACAGCCTGGTGCAAAAAACTGTTTATGGGGTCCAGCTTATAGTTATACATAATTACCCACGCTCCACCTCGTGCCTATTTTTGGATTAGCCGGGAGACGGTGGAGTCAAGATGGCGACAGCCTGAGCCGACCACACCGAGCTTCACAACGGCTCTTCAGAAACCGATTTACACGTTACTAAAGGTTCTACTAGCTAAGACTTCTATAATGTTTGAGTGGCGCATCCCAGTTTAGTATTCAGCTCGTGGTCACCGAGAAGGACACAAGCGTTTGAATTTACCAACAGCTGGTGCTGATGGCTGATGTGATGAAGAGTGAAACAAAGAAAAGGGGAAAAAAAAACACAATTTCATCTTGTTCGAACAAAATGTCTTCATCTTTCATCATATACAAACATTTACGTCTCATTATGTCTCATCAACACATTTCATATACATTTTTTTATATAAACACCATTTTCAGTAGGTTTTTTTTACCTGTTGTGCATCACTGTCAAACGTCACCACTACGTGTCTTTCTTTGTGCTGTTGGCGAGCTATTTATTTGTGTTTGTTTGCATGCGCCCGGGAATGGTCCTGCTATTTATTGATGTGGCTGTCAAACCTAAGATGCACGCCCCTCCCCGAGGCATTCAGAATCATTTAGTTGATATTTAGAGTTTTTAAAGAGTGACTGTTACTCTGTGTGTGCTCGTGCGTGATTGTCCATGCTCTCCATCCCTGCCCTGTAACCTGCAGCGATGCGAGATATGTTGCCTTAAGAGAGTCCAGTTGAGCCTCCTCTCCTTCCTCGTTCTGTCCATCCGTCCGTCAGTCATCCATTCCTCCTCACACTCGTTCCTTTTCCATAATTTTTTGCGCCGCCGCGGGTAAAATGCAGGACCAGAATGTCACGGTGGCCCAGAGAGCTCAAAGCACTGAAAACACACAGAGAGAACACAACAGAACAACGGTTTAACCGTTTTTTTTTTTACCATATTGCTTTTGTGTTGGTTTATTGTTATTATTATTTGTCTGCTGCATTGGCTCATACTGCCAGGAGCTGGAATGAGCTAGAAACGTGAAACCTGGCCCAATAACTGAAAATCACGTGCATGTGCTTCCAAAGAAATATGAGCCCATTCGGCCAGATGGTGGTGCTGTAATTAAGGTCCAAAAAGGCTATTTTGATAAGACCACGCCCCTCATACTGGAAGTCTGATTGACTTAAAATTGGACACACAGCTCAATGCACTCTACAAAAAGTCCACCAAACTAGATTTTCCGTCATCTCAAATTTTTTGAAAAACACGTTTTTGACGCTTCCTCCTAAACTGTCGGTCCAGTTGCTACGAAATCGTCTGTGAATCATCACTGGACAATGCTTATCAAACGCTGCATAAGGCTTGTTGATATCTTGTTTAGTTTTCAAGATATTGACCAGTGAACTTCTGAAGGGGCATTGCTCAGCACATAAATAGACATAGGTCAACAACAGATGTTAAAAAAGAAGGAGTGGCATAAAACGAATCAGATTGTTTCGATTCACATATTATGACTATTATTTGAACTGGTGATTATCACCAAAGGCAATTTTAAATTAGTAGCAAATATTATTATATATTATATTATTAGCAGTAATATCTCAACCAATCAGAATGTTAAAACTGAATAAAACACCACTGACAGATAGTCGACTTCATGGGCCACAAACCACAGCAACAAATAGTGTAACCCAAGTGTGTCCATCACTTTTTAGTGTCCCCTGGAAACAGTTATTTTGTGAGTAGTTTACATTCAGTTCTGTGCGGCTTTTCTATATTTTCTTCTAAATGCTGCACGCCGTTTTCTTCGCTTGCTTGTGTCTTTTAACATGTTTTTGTAGGTGCATTGAACTTTCTGGGCCACCATAGCATGTGATTACAGACAGTCCTATGCACACACACACACACACACACACACACACACACACTGATGCATGCATAAAATGGAGGCCTATGGAAGCCGGTCCTCTGTAGCAAAAACCATATAGGACCCTCTGAAGGAGAGAGGGAGGATGGAGGAAGACAAACAGGAGGAGGAGGAGGAGGAGTTGACAGAAATAGAGAATCTGATGTATCGTTCTCTGAATGTAAATAGAACCTTGAGATTGTCATTTTTTAATTTCCATTGCTTCTTTTTATAAGATGATCAAATTGTAATTTTTTTTATTATGCTCTGTTTGAGTTTGTGCTGCAGCGTTTCCTTCGCTGGCCTTTGTATCATACTACCCCCCCCACCCCCAAACCCCACCCACCTCCCACCATCATCTCCTCTTAGGTTTACCTTGTGTCCATTAGTAGCCCAGAGACATTTAGAGAAGACTAGAATCATAGCGAGAACAACCACCCCTCCCTTCATCCAGTTTCTTTATAGCGCTTAGAGATGCAGCAGATAATATTGATTATTAAGAATTCATGTCATATATGTCAACATTTATACACCTCGCTGAGGCAGCGCTGTGATGTCTTCTGCAGCCCCGGATGGAGCGATATCGGAAATCGATCTTAATACTTAGAGGGTTTATTTTTGTGGCTTCACTGCGTCGGACATACTCGGTCTGACACATTATGTGAAGCAGGATCACCAACCAGGGACTTGCCATGTGTTTTGGACCCAGAGCTGAAGTTTGTTTCTAATGTTTGTGGAGCAGAGAGGGAGCGGAGAGATGAGCCCGATGAGTCATTTCACACACAAGGAGCAGAGAGACTTTTTATTTTTATTTTTATCATTGTCAACAAATCCCATGAAAAGACCAAAACCAACAATGTGTTAGTCCGTCTCTCGATACTTTCTGAATTCCTGTTTGTATCTCTCGGCTCCAAGCCCATTGGTTCCTACTGCTGGTCACTGTTCTGACTATTTCCAGCAGCAATTAATCCACATTTGGTGCTTTAGTGAGTATTTGGAGCTGCAGGGCTGTGTACATGGGATTGAGTCAAAATAAACTACAGTGTCTGTGTTCATTTTAATGAAGGAAAATGTCTCCCAGTGCCCAGCAGTAATCTCTTTGACTACATCTACACTAAGCCATGTAAATATTTTGCATCTACAGAGTTTCCATGTGGGTTAAGGATTAGGTTATCTAACTTCTGTCCACAGTGACACACCTGAGCAATAGAAAAACAGCTAAATCTCGTCTTCTTCCTCTTTTCAGTTGGGCAAATAACAGTGTGAGTGACACAAAATCATTCTTTATGGACGTCTGACAAAATCAACATAAGCATTTAAAATGATCAATCACAAAGAAAGTTAGAGGCAGCAGAAAGTCCCTTTTAACTTTGTCACACAGCCACCGACTCTCACAGGACAGTTCACATCACTGTTTCGCAAAGATCCATTTACCCTGAACATGATGAAACACTGTGTGAGGCAACAAGTACACAAGTATTTTTTTAAATGTGGATTTCTCTAAGCATTTTGGCCTTTCGTCTTTCGTTTAGAAAGAGTTAGGTACCTGAACACAAACTTTTTAGAAAACACCTAGCTGGCAAATGAAGCAAACATGGAAGTAACAAAAACTGCAGTTCTTCTAACAGCCTCTAGAGGCTGACTCCAGCAGTGAGTCAATCTCCATAAGGCCCCATATTAAAGTAAACAAATTAACAGCAGAAATAAACATGTTTACAGCCTGGTACAATAAACCATTTTAGTCTCTATGGTTAATTAACCCCGTTCATGACAACTGTACAGCAGGTGAATTTCTATATAACTCACCTGTTTAGATCACATAAAGGCTTAAATTTATTCATTTAAGAGTATGGCTGCTCTGATTGTGGGGGGTCTTTGCCCATATTTATCCAGGAGCCAGCAGAGTCAGGACTGCCAAGATGCCGACCACAATGAGCTTCTCAGTGGCTCCTCAGTAACCTGACATGTAGACAGGGAACAGAGTTTTGGTCTTGTGACGTAAGAACGTGCAGCGACATTTGGTGGCCAAAACAGTGCTACTACTAGCTTTGCTAAAAGGAGTTTTTGTATGTTTACATGTAAATGTACAGTCAATCTTCCACTATATTGAGGAACAGAGGCATCAGAATACACGACAGAGCAGAGTCTTCACAGTGCTTCAATTGGAGATTTTTCTTTAGTTGTTTTTTTGTGTACGGGATGTTTTCTTTTAGAACGAAGAGAGAAAACCCTGTTTTAAAAATACCTGTGTACCTGTGGACCAAGCCAGAGTCTGGACTGCTGCTTAGTGTGGGCGACGTAGGTTGTGGGCCTCCAGTTTATTCTCATCAGTAAACTCACCATCCTGCATGAAATCGCAGGATGTTTACAGGATGTTTACAGGATGTTTACAGGATGTTTATCTTTGTTTTGTGTTGAATCAGACAAAAGGAGGACCATGAAAACATCTCTCAGTCCAACATGTTGCCTTGTTAAACGCCTCCCAGGTCTCGGCCCAAGCTCCTGTCTTTCTCTCTGCTCCTGACGCTGACTGTACAGCTGTCTGTCTGCCTGTCTGTCGCAGCCTTCTTTTATACATATAAACACGTTGGGGGTGGAAAAACCCCACAAAAACTAGAAAAAATAAAATAAAATAAAGACAAAAAAACTTTAGGTATAAATAATAACAATACTGCTAAATAACAACCACAGCAACAGTGCTATTCTCAGTTACAGTATTGTCATCAGTAGCGATGATGTGATCAGTAACACAATAAAAATAATCAGTATCACAGGATCGAGCAGGGACATGATAACAGTGGGGGGGGGTGTGTAGGGAGGGGGGACGACGGGGTTCAACACAAACACACATATACAGAGGGGAGGGGGGTGGGGTGAGGGAGGTGTTGGGGGGGTGTACTGCAATATTGAGGTGTGCTGATGTTGTACCTGCTTGTTGCATTGTGCGCTGTACTGTAGCTGACAAACTAACCCCAAACTGTCAACTAATAAATAAACATGGACTACGCATATCCTGAATAGACCTGAGCGCCAGGTGCTTTTCTTCTGTGTGTGTGTGTGTGTGTGTCTGTCTGTCTTTGTGAGGACTAGTTAGAGGCATTGGAAGACATTTATGCAAAGTCAGGACATTTTGGTGGTTTGAGGATTGAGAGTAGAGTTATTATAGTTTAGTTTTTTAAATTATACTATGGGGTGTATTTAAGAAGTTTAGACTAGGTTTTACAATTACAAGTACAATACCAGAAGTACTGTAATTAGAGTACTTAAGTCGTTTTTAAGGTAGCTGTACTTGAGTATTTATTTTTCTGATACCTTTTTACTTTTAGTCCCTAAGTTTTACATAAATATCTGTACGTTCTACTCCTTACTTGTTCAAAACAGATTTGCTACATTATTTTTAATGCATTTGTCAGGTGAGGTTAGGTCTTACAGTACTCTAGTTCCTTTATCCCTACAAGATAAATAATTGTTATTTATGTATTTTAAAGGTCCAGTGTGTAACATTTAGAAGGATCTACTGTCAGAAATGGAATATAATAATTATAGGTATATTTTAATTAGTGTATAATCACCTGAATGTAAGAGTCATTGTGTCTTCATTACCTTAGAATTAGCTGTTTTTATCTACAGAGAGAGCAGGTCCTCTTCCATGTCTCTACAGTAGCCCAGAATCTGCAACGATGCATTGAATTAAAATATGAATTAAAGCTGAAAGCAGCAATGATCCGGCCTTTGCACTATGCGTGTGTGCTGCCACAATATACCTTTTAATACATTTAGTTTAATTAATTCAAGATAAGAAAATGAATTGGATAAAATGTTCATAATCCATTTAATAATTGGCAGATACACAACCCTGACTATATTGCTTCAGATTTGTAATTTATGCCCTCATGGCTTCATTCCTTTCAACATTTTAACAGCATTATCAACTTAACTTTAATTTTGTCTTTGACCTTCGACACTCTGGACTTAAAGTGGCAGCAGGTAACTTTAACTGGTTGTTGAGTTCCCAGCATCAGTATATGACAACCTGCGAATGAGACTCAGCAACCAACTATCTTCCTCGGTCTAACCCACAATTTGAGAACCACTGGACTAAACGATCATTAGATCAATCAAGAAAATACCTGGCAGATTAATATATATATATAAGCTATAAATGTGATATATCACTGCCTTGATTGATTAATGAGCATTTACTACTGTAGTCAAACAAAATGGTATCAGATGTGTTTGAGATCCCTGAAAAGAGATTTACATTATTTACCTAATATGTAAATAACTGTTTCCATGAAACCAGATGATACTGAAGTACTGTAAGTTATTTTTATGTACAGCCTAATAATATATTTGAACAGCTGCAGTCACGCCTCAGAACAAACAAAGAGTCAACAAAGATGGACATATTAGCAGCTGTTTAGCTTGCTAGTTCAAGAGAGGAAGGACACGTGTGATTGGCTGAAAAGTGAGAGGGCGGTGACAACACCATGAAAAATGACAGCAAGAAATCCAGTGTGTTGTAATACAAGTGTGAAATAAGACATGAAATAAAAGTGTCATTGGGCCTAGTGAAGCAGCAGCAGTGGCTCCTGTGATGGCCCTGTGGTCAGTGGTGCAGTGCAGGGCACATACAGGTATACAGGGTACAACCAGTCCTGGGTCGGGGTTAGTCTGCAGTGGGTACAACCTCTTCTGAACCCCCTCTGATGGAAAGCATTCAGCAGAGTTCTGTGAGTTGATTTCCTCTGTGTCTTGTGCTCATTTCATAATCATCATTACTGCCTGAAGTCAAGCAGCAGGAGTTAAATGACAATGTGCATATGCAGGAGTAGTGTAACTGTAGTGTCCCTGTACAGCTTTACTCTGTCCTCTGTCCTCCATTAATGAGTATACACACTTCTCCAGGCCGCACTACACCCAGCCGGTGGGGGGGGGGACACATGCATCCTCCAGGCTGCCCTTCAAGTGGTCTCATGCAGTTTAAGCCCTTTTCGTTTTTTCCTGCAGCTGCTCAAAATTGTACTTAAATACAGTTACTTAAAGTAATTGTACTTAGTTACTTTCCACTATATATTATATCTGATAAGGGACACACACACACACACACACACACACACACACAGAGGAGTGAGCGCATAGCATCAAGCTCTCCAGAGGACAGAGAGCCGCGGCGGATCATGGGAACAATGATTGTTACAGAGACTGCCTGCAGCTGATTACTGTCATACAGGAACAGTAAGAGTCTAAAGAGGGTTAAACCTGCAGGACTAGATTCCCTGGAGCAGACTGTGTGTGTGTGTGTGTGTGTGTGTGTGTGTGTGTGTGCGTGCGTGTGTGTGTGACTGGAAGAATACTAAACGGGAGGGAGCTCACTGAGGAGGAGGACCAACACAAGGACTATTTGGCAAGCTGGAACTTGTCCCGACCGACCATCACACAGCCCCGGAGCAGAGGCAGGGACACACAATCTGCCCATGCTACATGCACACACACACACACACACACACACACACACAGACACACACGCTCCGCCAGGAATAGATTTGGAAGATGAACGGAGCGGCGGTTACGCAAGACGGGGCCGAGCCGCAGGGGGGCGCGGGGAGGACGCTCCGGTTCCAGCGTCCGCACGGTGAGTGACAGCGACACACACACACACACACACACACACACACACACACACACACAGCTGACCGCGGTGTGTGTTCGTTATGTAATACAATCATACTTCCTCTTTTTTTTTTTTTTCATTCATTTGTGTAACAGCGTGCGAGGGAGACTGTGTGCGCGTGCGCGAGCCCGTGACGCAAACTGTTGATCATTCTCATTGATTAATGAGCGGAGCGCGTGGTCCCAATCACCGCCCCTTCCAACGTGGCTCAGTAAAAACAAATAACCGGCATCATAATTCAGCCACGCGCTCCGTGCCGCCCGCACCGTTACGTAAGCGTCGCGGTGTTTTTAGGGAGCTGCTCGACGTATGGTACACGGTGTGCTCGTGCCTCCCTCCGCAGCGCGCGGGGCGGCGGTGTTGGGTGTCCTCCGCCCCGGTCCGTCCGTCGGTAGGGGGGAGGAAGAGAGAGTGGGGGGAGGAAGAGGCTGCTGGAGGACGCTCAGGCGTTTATTTTGGGAGGGAGGGAGAGGAGGAGGGAGAGGAGGAGGGAGGGAAGGGGGACAACTGTAGTGGTGTGATGAAGAGAGACCCACGTGGCTGCTGGGTCTCTGACTGAAGAACAAATGGAGGCCAAGCAGCGCGAGCCCCCGGTGCGGCGGCTGCGGCGCGTGCGGTGTGAGAGCACAGGTGAGGTTTGCATCCGAGCAGATAGACGATTAACCGGTCTGTCCTCTTCTCTCTCTCTCTCTCTCTCTCTCACTCACTCACTCACTCACTCACACACACACACACACACACACACACACACACTCTCACTCACTCACTCACTCACTCACCACTCACTCACTCTCTCTCTCACACACACACACTCTCTCTCTCTCTCTCTCTCACTCACTCACACACACACACACTCTCACATCTTCTACACACACACACACACACACTCTCTCTCTCTCTCTCTCTCTCTCACACACACACACACACACACACACTCTCTCTCTCTCTCTCTCTCTCTCTCTCTCTCTCTCTCTCTCTCTCACTCACCTGCAGGAGGTGACTCAGTAATAAACATATTGTTGGGAGTCAGCAGTAGTACTGATAGTATGATAGTACAGTGTCAGTAGTACAGTGTCAGTACTGATAGTACAGTGTCAGTACTGATAGTACAGTGTCAGTACTGATAGTACAGTGTGTCAGTAGTACAGTGTCAGTACTGATAGTACAGTGTCAGTACTGATAGTACAGTGTGTCAGTAGTACAGTGTCAGTACTGATAGTACAGTGTCAGTAGTTACTGCTTATACATACTGATAGTATGATAGTACAGTGTGTATAAGTACTGTGTTCAGTGTGTCTTCAGGAGGAGTTATTTCTGTTTGTTGTTATTGTTATTATTATTATTATTGTTATTATTGTTATTATTGTTGTTATTATTATTATTATTATTATTGTTGTTGTTGTTATTGTTATTATTATTATTATTGATTATTACGCCTTAAGATATATTATTATTGTTGTTGACTTATTATTATGGGAGTAGTGGTTCTACAATTTTGAGTTGTTTTAAAACGCTTTATAAGATAGGAGCTATGAATGTCATTGCACTTAGCCTTTACCATAGGATCTTTTAGACTGATTCCGGAGTCCCCAGTGGTTCTGAGAGCTGCTCCACAATAATATAAAATTATTGTCCAGTACGATCTATTCCATATAAGCTTCTTCTCCCTTGGAGTTGATGGGATTGGTCACTATCCTTCCCTCACACACTGGTCGTTCAGAGGCTGCAGTTGGCTTGTTCTTCAAAAGTTCTACAATCGTGTTGGGAAAGGAGGGGAATACCCGTTTAGGATAATTAATTATAAAATATGGCCATTTATATTAGATCAATTCATTCAAGATATCTGAATGAAAATGGGTTCTCTGGGTACCCAAAAATCTCCCCCTTTATGCTAATCACATGCAGTTGTAGTGGTGGTCTGTCCAACAGGAAACTCTGTAAATCACAGAGCGTTGAAGCTGGGCAGTCGGAGGACGTCAGAGGGAAAACCAGACAACATTTTCTCCTTAAAATCTGACCCAGTTTCACCTGAATCTCTGAATAAAGTTAGAAAGTTGTGCTTTTGTACAGTAATCAGTGAGGCCTGGCCTCAGTGTACGTAATACATCGGCTCCAATGATGTCATCAGAGAGAAAGCTTTTCATTGGACACCAAATTACTGAGTGCAGGAAGATTCACCAACAACATTTTCTTATTTTTCTAGAAATGACTCTAAAGTATCACCAAGAATCCCTGAAAACAGCTAAAAATGGACTTTTTTGTCATTGTTGGGACAGATACTGGAGTCAGGGGACAAACAGGACAAAACATGTGATAAAAACACTTTAAAGTAAAAACAGTCTTTATGTACAGTTGCTCGTTTTAATGCTGCTTACATGTTGATATTGCATTCCTCCCGGTGTAGTGGAGTAGAAGAGGGCTGGGCGGGTTTGTGTGGGTTATTAGTCATCTGATAAAATCCTAAAAGAGCCGCCCAGCATGTTTCTGACTGGTTTGTCACGCTGCACCACTTCCTGTATGCCGGGACAAAGTTTAGAGTTGCACTTGGTGATTGGTGGATGACCTCATTCTGGGCTTCCTTGAGCCAGTTCACGTGACTGACAGGTCTTCCGACCAATCAGAGGCACTCCATCCTCTGCAAGGAGTCAAGCAGGTGTGCCGAGTGGCTCAAACTCCTCCCCCTCTAACATTGTGGGAGAAAGTTGAAAATCTGTTCGCTCACCTGGAGGGCTCCTCTTTAGTTCGTCCTCCTGTTAAACACACACACACACACACATTGTACAGAGGTGTCATACACACACACTCACCTGGCTGTTGGAGCCATGTCAGAGACACAAAGAAAGCTCACCCAGAATCCTCTGGAGAAGACCTGGGTGCCGTGGATGAAAGGCAGGCTGAGCCAACGCAGAGGCTGTGAGTACACACACACACACACACCTGACGTACATGGACACTGCGCTGCTCTGTCACCTTCAGTTAGACGGGTTGATACTCGTGCCTTGGAGGAGGTGTCAGACAGTTCCTGAGAGTTCACTCATGAAACTGTTGGTTTGTGTTCGGTCTTAGAGGATTTGTTCTGCGGAGCTCGGCGTCCGTCTGTGAGAGACCGCAGGGCCGTTCACCCCGAAGGTTGACTGTGGGAGCACGTGCACGCTCAGGAGCAATCTAATGTGACAGGCTCCAACACTTTCACATATTCAGTGTCAGTTGTTATGCTCTCTTTAGTCAGATGATGCAACAGGAGTGCTGTAACTTCATTATTTTCTTTATCACATAGAAGTGATGGAAGACATTTCCTCCCCTCTGCTTCTTCTTCTTCCTCCAACTTCACTTTACTAGTTTCAGAAGAAAACCAGAATGTACGTTTAGGATGCTGGAGCCAGATCAGTTTTACACTTAAACAATTAATCGATTATCACAATAACCAATAGTTTCAGCTTATATTCATAAAAGCTTAAATATTACCGGGGTAGACATTTGTAAATGGTATTTCCCCTGAAAGCAATGAAACAAAGAGCTGAACAGACAAAAGGAAGAATGTTTCTCAGTGCAGTCGGTGACAGTTTGATGTGTGAACGACGCTCTGTGGTTGATGTTCAGTGTGTGAAGTAAGCTGTCACTGTAGCTCTGACTCAGCCTTTCAATCAGCGATACCCCTTATGTAATGCTGGCACAATGGGGGGGGGGGGTTCTGATATATGACCCAATATTTAAATGTAACCAGGTGGTGAAGACAAGAAGTATACTGGATAATAAAGAAGTTTAACCTCTGCTGTAGCGGTGCTGCTGCAGATGTTGACTTTGGATGGGGGGCGTTGGTCTGTCAGAGCAGTGTGATTGCTGAGAGGTCGAGGGGCGCCGGGAAGTAAACATAACGCACTGTTTTTGCTGGGAATGGCTGCTGTTGTCAACGGATTTAATCGCGATGCTTGTGGAATGAGCCACCAGAGCTCGTTATCTGTGAGTTAGACAGGCCACTGCTGAACATGTGCCGTATGTGTACAGGAATACTGCCTTTTGGGGGGGGGTTGACTTGATGAAGACCATTTTTTTTGTGAATTGGATGCAACTATATCCTACACACAGTAAAAATTACTCAACATCAAGAAGTGGTCATAGTTTTGACCCAAAGTCCCAAAGATATTCAGTTTACAATCCAATATGAGAAAGAATCCATTATGTAAATATACATATAGAAGGTTAGTGAGCTGGTAAGTGGATTTTGTTTCTTTTGCACTGAGCCAGGCTAGCAGTTTCCCTCTGTTTCCAGGCTTTGTGCTAAGCTAAGCTAAGCTATCCTGCTGCTGGCAGTAGCTTTATATTTATCCTACAGACATCCAAGTGGTCTAACTCTCAGCAAGAAAGAAATTAACATATTTCCCTAAATGTTGAACTGTTCCTTTAAAGAGTCATCTGGTCTAACTCAAATGACTTCTAAGACTTCTAATTACCTTTTTATGCAGCAGGTTTTCCTTCCCCAGCTTCGAGGTTTTCACTTCTACATAAACCTTTGTGCATGTGTCTGTTTTAACCTTCCAACTGTGTGTGTGTTCCAGCGTCGGTGCCCCAGTTCACCAACTCCCCAACCATGATAGTGATGGTGGGACTCCCGGCGAGAGGGAAGACCTACATCTCCAAAAAGCTCACCAGATACCTGAACTGGATCGGCGTTACCACTAAAGGTATCACATGACAGTACAGGATTACACTGAAACCCCCATTACACTCACTACCTTCAACCATCATGTGATCACACTTAACGTTTGGTTTCGCGTCATTCAGCTGTAAAGATGTTTTACTGCACAATAATATTTCATCTTTAACAAGGCTGTAGGCTGTCATGGGCTCCGTTTTACAGCTAGACTGAAGACACTGGTGTCATATGAAACTACATGAGCCGGCGTTTACCTTTGGTACCAACCATGTCAGAAATGGGGCTAAAAAACGCTTCAAAGTAAGGTTACATTTGACAATGGAAATAACTGATGTGGCCATTTTAAAAAGAGATCCCTTGACCTCTGACCTCTGAAGGGTTCTACAGGTACCTACGAGTCTGCCTTTGCATGAAACAGAATTGACAAAAGAAAATTCAAATTGGATAAAGAGATCTCATTTATGTTGGGTACACCCACTTTATATATAAACCTGTTTTGAGTGTATCGGATTATTTTGCCTACTGGGGTCCTTAAATAATGTTGGAATTATAGACTGATAATGACAGGACAGCTGAGACACATACTTAATGCAGCCATGAGAATCAGCTGATCATATTGTGCATCCTTATTTCTCCTACACTCTTGGAGGGCTGAGCTGTATTCACTTGGTTGCAATCTGCAACTTCACCACTAGATGTCACTAAATCCTACACACTGGTCCTTTTAAAGTCTGGGGATTTTTATAATCCCTGATACCTGATACAGGAGAGGCCTCTCTCTGTTTTGCAGTGTTCAATGTCGGGCAGTACAGAAGAGACGCCACACGTTCCTACAACAGCTTCGAGTTCTTCAGACCCGACAACGCAGAGGCCATGAAGATACGCAGGTACGAACCTTCTCAGCTTCACAGGGTCGGCCCACAATGTGTGACTGCACATGTCTCCTCTCCTGGGAATGAGATATGTGTCGGTGTGTGTGGGGGGTAACTGTAATCCAGATCAGACCGTGTATTCTGCATTATTAATGTGTTTTTTTCTATTTCCGTGTGCAGGGCCTGTGCCGTCACTGCCCTGAAAGATGTGTGTGACTACTTCAACAGAGAGCTGGGGCAGGTCGTGGTGAGTCTGCACATCCAATTGCTGTTGCTGAAATACTATCAAACTCTGTTTGATTATAACTTTATAACTGCAAATTCTTTATTTCTCAGTTTCTGTACAAGTAATTTAATGTTTTATATTAAGATTTGTTTTGTCATACATGCAGTAGTTGTATATCTTACCAAGCCTGATGTACAAGAATTTAGTTAGCCACATTTGAACTTACAAGCACCTATAAATCCTTTTTGAAGTCCAAAAAGTGCAGCAATCCGTCACTAACCTCCTTTGTCTCTGTAAGGTTTTTGATGCCACCAACACGACCTCAGAGCGCAGAGAGGTCATCCTCGGCTTCGCCAAGGAAAACGGTTACAAGGTTTGTTGTTTATTTTCTGCTCTTTTACACACCTGAAAAATCTAAATGCTGCTCCAACATCTCTCTCGGTCTTTTCCCACCTGTGCAGGTTTTCTTTGTGGAGTCGATATGTGATGATCCAGAAATCATCGCTGAGAATATTAAAGTAAGAGTGTGTGTGTGTGTGTGTGTGTGTGTGTGTGTGTGTGTGTGTGTGTGTGTGCGCAGGAAGCTGTGGTTCCAAGATCACTGTGAGAGCCGTACTTTGAGCCAAGAGCCGTACTTTGAGCCAAGACCCAGTGTGTTTCTTATTTGTTACTGGTGGAACAGACTGAGCCGAGGACGCCCGGTCAGAGCAGCGGTCACATTCTGCCAGGTCACGTGATCTGGTGCGGCGTTTGTTCCAAAATAAGATTGTTTGCACATATGGGGAAACAGTTCTCCTGCTGTTATCAATCTTCTACTTTCTCTTCCCTTTTTTTACTATTTTCAGTTCATCTTATTTCAGTTGTCTGTCAGTCTGTTTGTCTGCTCTGTATTGACGTCACTACATTTTATACCTTTTTAAAGAATAAGTGTAGCTCCAAGCGTCTTCAGCTTGTGTTATTTTCCTTGAATGCCCCCGACCATCAGTGGGCAGCTTTTTCTTCTGTTTGCTCCGTACACACTGAAAGCGTTAAGATTTATTCACTCTGGAAACCATTTTGGAAAAGCTGCTCTTTTGGAAGGCTGAAATGGAGAGAAAATACATGTTGCTTGTGTCATTTTTATATTCATTATTATATATTATTGAGTTTTATATTCAGGAAAAGTTAGTTTTTTCCCTTATCAGTAAAACAATGTTAAGTACTTAGTATAGTATAGAAATTAGTATATTTAGCAGGACGAAGAAATTTGTGACCTAAATAAAATCTCCTGCGACCCACGTTTGGGTTGCGACCCGGTCTCTTGGGAAAAGGTGGTGAACAGTAGATGAGGACGTACGCTGTACTTTTGTGTCTCTCTCAAACTCTCTCTTTCTCAAAATAGCAAGTGAAGCTGAGCAGCCCGGACTATGTAGACTGTGACAAAGAGGAAGCTGTGGCCGACTTCCTGAAGAGGATCGAGTGTTACAAGCTGACCTACGTCCCACTGGATGACAACAAGGACAGGTGACCGCATCCACAATGTCCTCTTTACATCCACGCCGGATGATTCCCACCTCACTGTTTACGTCTGGTTCCTACAGTAGTGTGTCCTTTATGATGTGGAGGACGGGGGGGTTGGATCGACATTCACCACCCATCACAGAGCTAACCTTTCACCTTTTTATTAACTGTTAGTTTGTGATCAAATACATTGTCAATAAGAAAAGACCAGAATTATTGAACAGAACTACCATATTCATTCTACTGTTGTTCTGATTGATTGTGAGCTGATTTTCAGTCGTCTTCTCGTCTTCATGCAGGAACTTATCGTACATCAAGATCTTCAATGTGGGCAGCCGATACCTGGTGAACCGGGTCCAGGACCACATCCAGAGCAGGATAGTGTACTACCTCATGAACATCCACGTCACCCCGAGGTCCATCTACCTGTGTCGCCACGGAGAGAGCGAACTCAACCTCGTGGGTCGCATCGGGGGAGACTCCGGGCTGTCACCTCGCGGGGCAAAGGTTAGGAGAGAGAGAGTGTGTGTGTGTGTGTGTGTGTGTGTGTGTGTGTGTGTGTGTGTGTGTATTCTCATGCCCTGTCTGTCAGTTTGCCAGTGCTCTGGGCGTGTACATGCGTGGGCAGTGTATCAGTGACCTGAAGGTGTGGACGAGCCACATGAAGAGGACCATCCAGACTGCAGAGGCTCTGGGAGTCCAGTATGAACAGTGGAAGGCCCTCAATGAGATCGACGCTGTGAGTGTTGGAGGAATTATATTTTCATATCATCGTCTACAAAATGTAGTCTACTGCTCAACACTCATTTCTGCTTCGCTTCGATCTACAGACACATTGGGACACGCGTCATTGAGTCAGTAACATCATTAACTAACCTGTGAGGAAGAGTTTGACACAAACGGACACATATTGACTGTTTGGGTCCCACAGTTTAACATTCTCTTCTTTTACTGGCTTTCACTCTTTGAGGAAGTAAATAAAATCTGTAAACTGGGATTTTTTTTTATTGTTTGATCTGTAAAATGCGAGGCAGCAGCTGTTAGGCAGAGAACCATGAGGTACTGTTACAGTGCTGGTTTAAGTGGGCGTGGTCAGTCTGATGTATAGTTTGTGCAATAATAAATATTTATACGCTCTGTGTGCGTATGACGGGCTGAGAAAGAGAGCTTGGTGTTTGTGACTCTCTGTTATTCTGTTCGCTGCCTCAGGGGGTTTGTGAGGACATGACGTATGAGGAGATTCAGGAGAATTACCCAGAGGAGTTTGCACTGAGGGACCAAGACAAGTATCGCTACCGCTACCCGAAAGGAGAGGTGAGGAAAGAGAGAGAGAGTGTCATCGCCTTTGCTTTTTTAGTCTGTTCAACTCATGACACACACATCGTCTCTTTTATTTCAATTAAATAATCAACAGCGGAAAAATTGTGAAAACTGGCCAACGTGAAACCTTCAAATTGCCTTTTTTTGTCTGACCAACAGACCAAAACTCAATAATGTTTGATTTAGAAAGATATAAAAGCAGCAAAACCCCACGTTTGATTATTTGGAACCAGTGAATGCACTGTTAGTTGAAATTCTGTAAATGGACTGATATCTTTATACTTTGATGTATTTTCAGTGGAAGCGCACTAATGTTGAGCTGAACTCGCGTGTTCCCAGTTTAACATGTAAACCTCTCTGCGTTTCCACCAGTCGTACGAGGACCTGGTCCAGCGCCTGGAGCCGGTCATCATGGAGCTGGAGAGGCAGGAGAACGTCCTGGTCATCTGTCACCAGGCTGTTATGAGATGTCTGCTGGCCTACTTCCTGGACAAGAGTGCCAGTGAGCCAAAATCCATTAATTACAATAACACTACAGAGAGCTTCCCGCTCTGTACACATGTACACTGTAAAACCTGATAAATGAGTTCAACTCAAACTTTTTGAGGAAACTGATTCAACAATTTAAGCACATAAAATATTTGATTTGAGTACGATGAAGTCAAGTATTTGTGGCGGTAACTTGGGTAAATTAACTTCACTAATTCCATTCAGTTAACTGAACTTAAAACTACTAAGTGCACTAGTACAAACTAATTTAAAATGTGTAGGGAGAATTTGCACAATTTATTTTTAAATTATTAGATGAGTCAGCGTTAATGTTCCTCTGGGTTGGTGAGAGGATCATGTGCTGGTTGCAACTGATTTTTTAAAAACACGTTTTAATCTTTGGGCTTCGGGGAACTGATGAAGTGTCTTCCAGTCAAAACCATGTTGTAATTAAACAAATATGACTTTCCTTTGTCCCTGTGTGTCAGACGAGCTGCCCTACCTGAAGTGTCCTCTCCACACCGTTCTGAAACTCACCCCCGTCGCCTACGGTCAGTCTCTCTGCTTCCTTTAATGTCCTCATCCGTCACTCCTTAAACCTTTCTATCAGACTCACAACCTCTCTTTGTTGCTGTCTTTCTCTCTCAGGTTGTAAAGTGGAGTCTGTCTTCCTCCACATTGAAGCTGTTAACACACACAGGGACAAACCAGAGGTACGTTTAAGGCTACTTCTTTATTTTTTATTTTTTTTAAAACATGTAGAGAAAGGGGGGGGGGACTACCAATCGTAGGGTCAGAACGGCAGGACACAGGGAAAACAATCACGTCATTGCAGTCAGCTTCTCCCGGTTAGGATTCCTTCAAACACACTGAATAAAGCAGTTCCACCTTAACAATCACTGCTTCTCCCACGCTGTTGGACAGACAAAGGACGTCCCGGAGGGGCTGCGAGCCGAGCTGCTGCTAACGTTAGCTCAGCTTGTTTCTCTGATAACTTAAGATCCAGACGTCCGATGACTAAAATCCTTCATCCGGTTCAAATCTAGAGTTAAAAAGCACCAAGATCTAAACAGTGGATGGTAACAATGTGGCTTCAGACTGGATCAACAGTCAATGTATGACAGCTTCTGGCAGACAACCACAACGCTGACGCAGGCACAAAGGGGATATGACGCCATCGACAGGCGACCGGTGAAACGCAGCGTTACCTGAATAAAGTGACAGATTTTGAATTGTTGGAAACATTTGGGGTAAAGTAAGAACTCAACTACATAGAACTAGAGTTTATAGATATTTTAATGAGGACATGTTACGTACTTCAGCTTTTAGCTTTGACTGAACCTGTGAAACGTACACTCTGGATTCAGAAATACACAGTGCCATCAGATAGACAGCATGAGTTTGTCTCTTTCTCAGAACGTGGACGTGGACAGAGACCCGGCGGAGGCTTTAGAGACGGTCCCAGACCACATCTAGAGGAGGAGACGCAAACACGGAGCTGGTTTTCATGGAAAGTGGCCTTTTTTTAATTTAAGTAATCATAGTGTTCATTGTTGTCGTGGTCGTTGTTGTGAAACGGACAAACTTTATGATATATGAAAGTGAGACCTTTTTCCTAATGGCATTTCCATTGTAAATGCACTTTATAATGCAGGGCTCAGGCCAAATGTCTGATGATGATGATGAAGAAGCTTCCTTTACTGTGAAAAATGAACTACTGCTGCTGTACACTGGCCAGGATCACTGTTTGGATGTTTTGGAACATTGTCATGTTTGTCCTCCTCCCTACTACTAATGCATTAACCAAACAGTCAGTTATTAACCTGCAGTGTCTGTCTGAGCCATCCTGCATCATGTTCTCACCAGTATCCAGACATCTAGTAAGCAGATAGGGTTTCTGAGAAGAGTGGGACAAAGAGGAAGGAGAGATTTGTAACAATGCTGAATGAAACTTTGAGGAATAGTTTGACAGTTTTAGAAATCCGCTTATTTCTTGCCGAGATTTGGACGTGAAGATGGACCACTCTCACTAATGTCTGTACGCTGTGTGCAATCTACAGTGGGGAGACGTTAGCTCAGCTCAAAGACTGGAAATAAGGGGAAACAGCTAGCCTTGCTCTGTCCAAAGATTACCCCAGATTCATATATAGCGTACAGACACCAGAGTGGTATCGATCTTCTCATCTCTCAACAAGAAAGCAAAGTGTGGAACTATTCCTTCAACCTGGCCTGTAAGTGTGAGTCATTCTGTATCACGTGTCCACATTCAGAGGTACATCATACGAGCATCCAAACGACGCTGGGGGTTGGGTGGATGTGGTTGTATTGTTACAGGAGAGATGTGCAAACCACACACCCCACAATCCTTTGAGAGTAAAAGGAGACATTTGGCACTTTAAACTGCCCGATACCATGATGTGCCTCACGTTAGTCAAATATACTGTAGGTGATTACTCTATGCACGCTCCATGCACTGACACACACTGGACGCAGATGCAGGTCCTTGTACAGTGTGTGTACTGTAGTATGTTTTTAACTGACATGGGTCATTTTAATAAGATATATAAAAGAAGATCTGGTGCAGTGTGTCAGTGATTTTTTTTAATATGAAGATATTTCAAAGATGACTGGCTGTTTTTGTTGTTTAGTGTAGCTGCTTTGTGATCAGGTTTACTTGGGGGTGGGGGGGGGGTTCAAGGTCAAGATCTGGGGCCTGTATCGCAAACCAGTTCGACGTAGTGTGGCTCTCTTTGGGTTACGTGGCTCTGCTGGTATCATGAAGCTGATTGTTGGTTTACAGAGAAAGGTTTTAATTAAGAGTAAAAATCGACACACCGCGAGTGGAGTGTTTAAGATAAATATAAAATGTTATAGTACAGAAGTAGTGATATTCAGCAAAATGAAATATTAGATAATCAGAAAACTGGTAAAGAACAAGATGCTGTAAAAACAGATAATAATAATCTAAGGTAAGGCTAAATAAATGTGGGAATTCTTGTAGCATATTCAATACATTTGACATTTTCAACATGTTCAGTAGTATATAAAGTATTTTTTGCTTTTTCGTCTCATGGTGAACAAACTTTTACGACTGTGATACACATGAAAAATGCCTGATACGGTTTATCTGCATTTATTACAAATTAGCTCTCGTTCTTGTCCCAGAACCTTGGTGCTATCTAACGAACCAGCCAGCGTTTCCACCAGCTTTGAGTGGAACCATTGTAATCGGATGTATCATCAATAGAGGGCGCTGCACTGGAGGGATCTGATGCTCAGTAGTCGGGCTGCTGACGGGCTTTGATTTGAAGTTAACCTGCTAAGGAGCAGCAGTGGTGATCTGTCGCATTTAAAAGTGAACCAGCTTCTTGATACCAGCAAAGTAAACCCAAAGATAATCAGCTGACCCACTAATCTGTTTGCGATACAGGCTGCTGGTGTGTATTTATTTACAGTTACTTTGTGTCACCTGGGGGAGCAATAGAGAATACAATTTTCTCAGGGGATCTTTTTTTTTTATTGTTTTTAAAAAGGGTTGCCAGCACATCAGTGTAAATAAATGCATGTACTACTTTCCACACAATGTGACGTTCAGAAAACTAGTATCTACGATAGCGAGTCGTCCTTTTAAACCACAGTTCTTACTGTCAGTGGTAGCAAATCCAGTGTCCAATCAGTGAACTTGTGCTTTGTTTGGTCGGATCAAACTGTCTCTAAAGAGGTCACAGCTTCATCATACTGCTCTTCTCTTCTGTGTAAATGTGCAATTGTGCCTGTGTGTCCTGAGCTCTGTAGTATGTAGCAACTGGGATGTCAGAGGTACTAAAACAGGACCGCCGTCTTGTCCAACAGCAACGAGTACGTGAGAGGAATGAATGAAAAGACAATGTCAATCAATGCAATCACTGAGGTTTAATCTATTAGAAAAGATTTTATTTTCTGAACTTGAGCAAATAAACTGTTACGTTAAAGTCCAGGCAATAAAAGGAAAATGGATACCTGACTGATTGTGTGTGATATGAGATGTTATTTACTTATTGAAGAGAGACATCAAGAATGTATGACACTCAGACTAAATGTACTGACATACAAATATGTATGTTTTATAACCAGTGTTTGTTTGAATTGATGGTTCAGTTTAAAAAGACTCCTCTGCTTTGTGTTTGATAATGCAGTCTACAGTATGAATACAAAAACACATTCAGAGAGGAAACAAAGCACTGATAAAATAAATACAATGAAGGGAAACAGTGTAGACTGGAGCATTATCTCTGGCTGCTGGTGCTGGGCTGGGACGAGTTGGGGACGGAGTGAGCTTCTCTGTACTGCTGGCTCCAGGTCTGAGGGTCCTGTTCATGGAGCTGAGAACAAACAACATCTTCATTAGGTAAAACAACAGAACAAACAGCAGGCAGGTACACTCTGTTACTAACAGCGTTCCCACTCTTTAAGAAATCACTTTCCAGGACAATACAAGCCAGCCCTTTCTCAGTGTTTATCAGCGTTGGCTCGCTTTCTGCTCTCACAATAATCTTTCAGCTTCAGTCTCATTCATTTGGCTCCAGCCCATCAAGTAGAATTTATTTTGTTTTACAGAAAATCTGCCCATTAAAAAGGTTGGTTTGTCCGTTCTGGGCTACTGTAGAAACACGACAGCCTCCTTTAGAAGGCGACCTACAGCATCTTTAGATAAACAGGTTGTAAACAAAAACACCACCTTTAAAATGAGACCTAGAAAGTGTTTGTTGCCTCTACAATTAATTAACTACACTACAATTCACACATTTGATCATTAATATGCATGTTAATATGATCATGTCTACGTGGACTTGTGAGACTTACACTTATGGCTCAGGGAACAAAAAGACTGAGACAAAAAAAAAAAGACAGCATGTCCGTTGAGCTCCACAGGAACACAAGTTAAAAGGCAGAATCTTTCTATTCGACGTAAACCAGCTCTGGAATTCAATACAAATTCCAGGTGTTCCCATGACTGGAAAACAAGTCTCTAAATTTCCAGGATGTGTGGCAACCCCAACGGACACACACACACACACACACACACACACACACACACACACACACACACACACACACACACACACACACACACACACACACACAGTAACTTACTTGACCCATGAACTCGAGGATTTTGGCTTTTGACACTTCCAACTCGGCACGTTGACCCCATCGGAACTCATGCTCGATTGGCTCCGTGTGAGGGATTCGTGCATACTCCAGGTACCTACACACACACACACACACACACAGACAGACACACACACAGACAGACCACACACACAGACAGACAGAACGATGATCAGTTGTAGCCTAATGTGGAACGTATTTCTGTACATTTATAAATAATTCATTAACTGCTAAAGCTAAATAAAGTAAGATAAAATCTCCTCATGGTAAGGTAACAACAACAAGACAATTCTTATTTTAAGGTGATTATACACTGATGAAAACATACCTATGAATATTATATATTATATCCTCAATGTGAGGATTGTTTTAACTTGAAAAAAGACTTCATTTGCAACCTCAGAGCACATGAAGGACAGGATTGGAACCTTTGTAATGATAATGTTTGGAGTCTGCTGGTCCAGACACTCTGCTGTAGAGGTCTGGTTTCCTGCAGTCTCCTGCTGCTCTTTGGTGTGGTATAAACCAGAGTCTATGGTCTGACAGACACTGGCTCTGATCACACCAGTACAATGTAACACAGTGATCCCAGTGGGGCTTGAACCTGTGACCTTCTGATCACACATCTGTTGATTAGATGACTGAGCTATCAGCTGGCTGAAGGGTTCAACCTCAGAAAGAGATAGAGTGAGTATTCACACCTTCAGAGGAGGGGGGGGGGGGGGGGGGTTATGTGTACAGCATGTAAATGAGGACTCTGTAATCCAGCTGAGGATGAGTCAAAGTCTTCTCACCTTTGTCGCACAAACTCGTCTGTGACCACCTTCTTCACGTCACCGAACTCTTCGTGTTTCTCTCTGGGGAGATTTTGCATCGTCAGAATAAACACAGCGAACGGAAACAAAAGACAACATTCAAACGAGTATGTAAAGTCGTCTAACGATCACGTGCGTGCAGATGTCGTCTCACCCGGGGTCAACGCGGAGTTTCTTCAGAGTGTTCCAGATGAGGTCTGCAGCACAAAACACAAAACAATGAGCTGTCAATCACAAGGTAGCCCCGCCCTAAAGCATACCCTGCTTTATGGTCTGTTTTACTCTAAATGGGACCATCAGTTACTAAATGAACATCATGCTGTATGGAAGAAGACTGAAACTAGAGACTGAGACCAGAAACTCATCAGGAAACTGTTTACGGAGCTCATACATCAACTGAGAAGTCGACTCATTTCTCCATAAGAGTCAATACTATCAGAGTGGAGCTCCCCCTGCTGGCCGTTACAGATAATGCAGGTTTAAGACACTTCACAGACCCTGAAGCTGTTTTATATACTGTCAGTGGCATTGATTCAGTGACATTGGACATCAAACAAGCACAGTCAAAAGTAGACAGCGCCATTTTCTATTTAAAAAGAGTATTACTATTCATTTTTCCTATCATGTTTTAGTTTCCACAGATTTGAATATGCACCTATTTGCATTTGTATCGCAGTGTTTCTCCATATATCTTCACAACACCTTGACTCCTATTTCCAATGCCAGCATTACAACTGAATTAGTTTAAAGAGAGAAAACATTTAAAGTTGACCAAAATCTAATTTCATTGACAGAAAAACATTTTAAATTCTCTTCGATTAAAACTATGAAGGATAAAAAATTATTCAAATGTGACTGAAACTAATGAGCATTTCTGTTTACAGCCAAGATTCACACTAATGCAGTTGTTGTTGTTGTTGTTGTTGTTGTTGTTGTTGTTGTTGGAGCGATGAACAGTTGAAAGCTCTCACTCACTTTCTCTGACGACGCCTCCTTTCATGAAAATCACACTCAGGATCACAAACAGCAGACCCATCTTTGGATTGGTGGGACTACTGCTCACACAAGAACAACACACGTGTGCAGTTAAAGTACACAGTGTGGCAGTGTTACAGTGTCATTTATATAAATCCAGACACTCACTTGATCGGCGACGCTCCCTCTGCTGCCTCCAGTTTGTTGATGAGTATGTACATGTGACTTTTGGGGTCGATTTCAACCAGTTTGAGGCCAAATACCTGGTTCAAGCAGAGGGAAAGTTTATAGCTTCAATGTGATGTTTCTTTATCCGGTTCCAGTGTCGCCTCTGATCCTCTCAGTCTGAACAAACCTGGTCAAAAGTACGAGCCGCTCTCTTTATGATCTCAGGGTAGATGTTTCTGTACTCCTTCACCACGTGTTTCACAAGGTCTGGAAGGACAAAGAGGAGTATGACAACCTTCTTTACACTATTTATTTTATATTAGTGCGTCTCGAGGCAACCGGAGCTCTAACTTTACCAAACTATCCCGAAGTAAACACGGGTTAAAATGATGCTGAATCCACTGGAAAGCTGACCTAACACTACAAGTCACTACAATCTGTCTTCCTCTGACAACTGACTTCACCCTCCTCTGCCTCTTAGGAGGTTTTTCCATAAAGAACAGAACAATGGCCAAAGCTCATTTATTGTTTGCCTCGACTTTTAAACACGAGAGCAAACACAGAGGGATGAAACACGCTGACCATGGCATCGAACACACACTGACTGTACCTGCTCGCCGCACGGGAATCTTCTTTTGGTCCTTCACCAAGAAGTACTGCACCACCTCAGCTGTCTGCGGGACGGACGGACGGACGGACAAGACGTGTGAATACATCTTTAAGTTAGAATAATAACACTGTGTGGATTTCTGTTACCTTCTGGTCGACCTGTGCCGGAGTGAGTTTCTCCAGCCCCCTCTGGACCTGCGACGTACTCGGCTGAGTGAACGTTGTGTCATCGTCTTCCTCCTGAACCACTAAACTGCCAGACTGCCTCTAAACACAACAACACACACACACACAGACAGCACACACACACACACACACACACACAGACACACACACAGACACACACACACACACACACACACACACAGAGACACACACACAGACACACACAGACACACACACACACAGACAGACAGACAGACAGGCACACACACACACACACACACACACACACACACACACACACACACACACACACACACACACACAGGACACACACAGACACACACACACACACACACACACAGAGACACACGACAGACAGACAGACACACACAGGAACACACACACACACACACACACACACACAGACAGACAGACAGACACACACACACACACACACACACACAGACACACACACACACACACACATACACACACGAGACACACACACAGACAGACAGACAGACACACACACACACACAGACACACACAGACACACACACAGACACACACACACACACACACACACACACACACAGACACACACACACACACACACACACACACACACACACACACACACACACACACACACACACAGACACACACAACACACACACACACAGACAGACAGACAGACAGGCACACACACACACACACACAGGACACGACACACAGACAGAACAGACCACACACACACACACACACACACACACACACACACACACAGACAGTTTTAATTCAATAAACAGGTCAGTGGATATTTAAGCAGTTAGGTAAATGATTGATCACCAGATTGATTAATATTTAATATTAATTAATTAAATATTAATAAATATTAAATATTGATTAGTTTGTGATGTTTTAAAGCTTCATAGGGTTTCTTCAGTGGATGCAACAACTGCTGACCAATGAGTGCTGATGAGGAAGAGGAGGAGGAGGAGGAGGAGGCTGAGGAAGAGGAGGAGGAGGAGGAAGCTGATGAAGAGGCTAAAGAGGAGGAAGAGGAGGATGAAGAGCACTTACTCTGCTCTGTGTGTTGGACAGCCGCTTTCTCTGAGTCATGGCGGTCAGCTGCCTGATAAACACAATCACACAGATCATCAACAACAACAACAACGACGCAACAACACAACAACAACAACAACAACAACAACAACAACAACAACAACGACAACAACAACGACAACAACAACAACAACAACAACAACGACAGAGTTAAAACGCGCCGCCGGACGCGGAAGTGAACGTGCAGCTCCAGTTAGCTCGTTAGCTCGTGGGCTAACTGTCGGTTTTTAAAAAGAATTAAAATAATTAAAAGAATTAAAATAAGTAACGTTACCGGAGCGTTAAACAACCGAACAACCGAACAACCGTTCACCGACAGTGTTCACTCTCCTTACGTCATTAACGGCTCCTTTGTTTCCGAACCGTCAAACTCCCGCCACTGCGCTCTCTGGGCGACTGCTGATGACGACAGAACGAGCGCGCCGGCCGCTTTCTTCTTCTGTTGATGAAATGCAGACACATTCCATTGTGGTATTTAAACAATAACAACAGTAAACAAATAAACAAATACACATAACGACAACAATAACATAGGTAAAATATACGTATGTAAATATATATTTTCAAAATAAAAGACAGGGCAAAACAAAAGAAACCTCCCACTGTCGGAGGGAGCCGTAAACTTTATATAGTGTTTATAACTTTATGTCTTCTAATATCAATCTGCTAAAACTTCTATAAAGACATCAATAAAGCAACTTTAATCCAGAACTCTTACATTTAAAGAAAAGATAAGAAATTGATTCAGTTTGTGTTTCACAGAAAAAACATAATGTAGAAATATTAAATATCTATCTTCGTCTTCGTCTTCGTCTTCAGGGTTTAAAAGCAGTTTACAGTCCGTTATCAGTGCTTTACTGCCAGCTACTAGACTGGAGTGTGGAGCAGTAGAGTGGCAGAAAATAAAGACAATAAAGTCTCTCTATTATTCCTGTTATTGTTCTATATAATTAATAAAATATAATAATAATAAAAGAGTCCTTTTCATGATTTATTTCCAAGTAGATTATCCAGTGTAATATTGTGTTCCCTCCTTTCTTGATTATATTTGCTCTAATCTATTAATACATTAATATGTTTGACAGTTTCCACCTTATTACAATGAGTGCATTAGTCCACTGCGGTTCTTGCCTATAATATCTAGTGTATGATTTAATGTCTTATTCTCAGACAGGTCTGCTCTGTAATCAATAATAATAATAATACCAACTGTGTGTGTATCCTGTAAAGACGTCTTCCAGTGTCACACCAGGTCCAGTATTCCTGCCAAGGTTTCTGTATATGATCCTAATCTAACTTCTGCTTTACTTTATGGTATTTCTTTGTCAGTTTGTCTGATTTCTTTTTTTCTTTATTCAAACTATTTACAAAGACACAATGACAGTCTTCAGGAAAATGTACAAAATGAACCAATAAACAAAATAATATTAACACAAATAAATAACAATAGCCAGGAAACAAAGGTTCAACCAGGCATTGAAATAATAATATACAACAATAATACAATTTGATGTTTTTTGCTACATCATCATTAGAAACGATGTAACGTATATTTAAGATATATAAATATACGAACAGGGATGACATAACCGACATCAGAGGAATCAGATAATAAGAAGAATTTAGTACCAGAACAAAGACAATGACGATGGATGGAAAGTGACTGCAGACAAAAACACAGTTTGTTTGGACCCCGGAGGAATGTAAAAGAAGAGTAAACAGCCAGTCACATGTTTGTTTAAAGATAACAGTTAACAAACAGCAACTGAAGCAAAAAGTGGGCAAAAACTATCACAATATGGAACCCCGCTTAAAATCATGTTTAGTTTCCTTTAGTTTTACTGCGTTGTGTTAATTTATGAGTAATTCTAGAGTCTTTTAAAAGAATATAATATGTAAATTAAAGATATTTATTTATACAAAAGACAGCCCTGAATAATGTCTGCAGGTATTCTCGTAAGGCCCAACAACCTCCACCGTTACTGTGAGGCAACCTGAAGGTCACTGAGATGGATTTATCAAACATTGTTATTAATCTCTCGTCTCTCATTCGAACAATGACGGCTGGACAGTAAGAAGACACCATTTATAGAGTTTGTAGTTTGTAGTGAGACAATCAAACATCAAGAGGTACTCTTCAGATCTTTTACTTCAGTAAAAGTTGTAATACTACAATGCAGAAGTAAAAATATACTTAAAGTAAAAGCACTCATTTTGCAGAAAGGCAATATGTTGTGTGGGCTAATCTTAATTTTTATACCTTTTTATACTTTATATACAGCTGGGTGACTCGTGAATTTCCCTCTGGAGATCAATAGGGTCTTATTTATATAATAATATAATTTACTTGTTTAATAACTAAAGTAAACTTTTCTTAAACTAAACTAAAGTTATCAAATAAATGTATTGTAAAAGGTACAATATTTGTCTTTGAACTGCAGTGGAGTGGAAGTATAAAGTAGCAGAAATACTAAAGTACAGACCCTCAACCCTGGAGTCTAATGGCATTTCACCTTTAAATGGACTTGCATACATGATATACCCATGTGTTTTATGTCATAATGTACAGAAAGACCTCAGCTATCTGCATAATGAGACACCATTTGTCCAAGAGCACCGTGTAAAGAGATAATCTGACTCTAAAGATGGAAAATGGAAGTCTTCAAATCTCTTGTGGAAACACACATTTACTCATGTGGACCAGATGTTCTGGTGCTTGAAAATGTCTTAGGTTCACAAACTAGTGGACTATATGAATACAATTGTATTATACTGTCATTAATAAATAAATAGGACATTCATTAAGTAGGTCTAGTGGTTCCCAACCTGGAGGTCAGGACCCCCATAAGGGGTCGCTACTGGGGTTGCTAGAAAACCTATATACACAGTAGGCCGATATGTCAACATTTGGTTCACTTCTGTGAGGAAAAGTGAATCCTAAGTAAAGTAAAATGTCTAATAGAACAATGGCTGAGCATCAGGGACAAGAAAACACTGAATTTATCAAAAAAGAAGCTTATTAAGTCTGTATGAATTATATAACATACATAATACAGACAGAACATTTTATAAAAGTTCCCTCATCCAGATCTCTGGTTTTACACAAACTTCCTGCAGTTACTGAGTTCACTGTTTGGGTTCATTGTTCAGTTTGAATATATAATATAAAATATACATAAAATATGTCACTCAGTCAGTTCAATAATGATAGAACTTTTAAACATTTAAAAACTGACGGCTCGTTTTCTTGCACCCCTTCACTGAAGAAGTCAATGCGACCCCTATGTGGAGCGTCGGCGACCCCTAGTGGGGGTCCCGACCCACAGGTTGGGAAACCACTGCCTTAAGGAATAAAGGGGTGGGAACCAGTGACCTACAGTACTTGAGTACACATACTTTCCACTGGTATGACCGCAGGGGGGCGCTGTGTGTGTGTGTGTGTGTGTGTGTGTGTGTGTGTGTGTGTGTGTGTGTGTGTGTGTGTGTGTGTGTGTGTCGGTATAAATAGTGCAGTGTGTGTACAGGAGGCAGTTTATAGCAGCACTGAGGATAAAGTCACACTCATTGTTACACTCACACACAACTGTGTGTGTAGGTTACAGTAAAAGTTCCGTTAAAGTAACTCTCAGCTCTCTGGAGACAAAGTCCAGCGCCGCACTGTACGTGGCAGCAGCACACAGACAGCTGACAGACAGACAGACAGACAGCAGGCAGACAGGCAGGCAGGCAGGCAGACAGGCGCAGTGTCTCACTACAACAACAGCGGCGGTGTGTGAGGACTGTCGCGGCGGGGTGAAGAGGACCGGGGCCCGGCTGTCTGCTCTGGCCATGCGGGGGAGAGGATGGGGGAAGAGGCAAGAGTTTCTCCGCTCAAGAACTTCGTGGCTGGGGGGGTCGCCGGAGCCTGTCTGCTGCTGGCGGGACACCCACTGGACACCATCAAGGTGACTGTCCAATAACCTGTAACACAGCTTTATTCTTCCCTCAGAGGACATTACACTGCTCTCTCCTGTCTGTGGGGATTTTATTCTGGTAGGGGTTTTATTTGGTGGGGTTTATTCTAGTGTTTTATTTGTGGGGTTTTTCTAGTGGGCTTTTATTCTGGTAGGGGGTTTATTCTAGTGGGCTTTTATTCTGGTGGGGGTTTATTCTGGGTTTTGTTTGAAGTTTAAAGTCAGTGATCAGATGTAGGTGTTGAGGGGATTATTGATAAATCAGCTTAGACTGCCACTGAGGCCACGAGGCAGCTGTCAGACACACAGGAGCTGTGGTGTGTGGAAGGGTTAGATTAGGGGACTACAGATTAGCAAGTAAAGGTTAGATTATTACATAAAAGTCAGGGGAGGAAGTATTCATTTCATTTACTTAAAGACCCCCCCTCCTGACATTTATTATTCTACTATTACTCTTTTCAAAATAAATGACTCCTTGCCAACAGTAATTAGTTACACTACTAGTTACATTACTCTTCTGCTACAGAAACTGGGTGCTAAATGAGTGATTGTGTCCTTTCTCCCCATAATTCAGACTTAAAGGCGAATAAAATCTAGTTGTGTTTGTTAAAATCAAAGTAATGTGACTATTTGTGACTTCCGAACTAGTTTCCTGCAGGATCACAAGAAGACATCCAGGAATGTGATTGTTGGATTTTCACAACAAAAGTAATGTAGTAACTAATTATTATTACTGAAATGTATTAGTAATTAGTTACACTACTAGGTAATGAAATAAGAAATGTTTTACTGCCCAGATGCACTGTATATACACATAGTCTACTCCGAACAATAATGTGTCAGATGTCATTTCCACATTAAAATCTCCTCGTTAATAAATACAGAATCTATGAAATATGCCAATTCTGTTCATTTCTAAAGTTTTCCTGCTGGACACAAGATGTCTCCTCCTTCCTGAGTATTTGTGATGTCACAAATCAAGCTTGTAGGCCCCGCCCCTTAAAATCAGATGTTCAATGAGCTCAGAGAAACTTTTCCACTTTCAGCAGATGAGTGTAAAAACATCCTTCTAGAGTCAAACTCTGCACAGACATCATCCAACCATCACACTGTAGGAACAAGAACAAACACTGAGCTCTGACTGGAGGGGATTTAAATAAAAGTACTAAACATACACTAAAAAATACTCTCTTACAAGTAAAAGCCCTAGTAATAGTATATAAATATAATCAGGAAAATGTACTTTAAGGTCCAGAGTGAAACATTGAGGAGGATCTATTGTCAGAAATATAATATCTATAGCTATGTTTTCATTAGTGTATAATCACCTGAGTATAAGAGTCATTGTGTGTTTGTTGCCTTAGAATGAATGTGAACATGTTGTCTCTGATTCTCACATTAACTGTCAGACACTCACAACACCCTGTTTTCTTTATCAGCGACCACGAGCTGCAGAAGTTG